ATCCACGTGAATAATTTATTCCTATCAATAAAACTTGAAAACTGATAATGGTAATTATTTTATAGTGATGACTTTTAATAAAGATTATAATTTTGTAACTAATAAAAATATATACTAAAAATGTATTTTTGATTTCATGTAATTATTAAAAGAAAATTATACAAAATAATACCGGCGGGTAAGTAGTGTTGCTTATAAGGAGGGGTAGAAGGGCAAATCGACGACATTGTCAAACCCTGGTGAATACTTCTTCTCTCTAGGGTTTTAGTGCTCAGTCTTCCTCTTCCAATGTCAAACAACAACGATAACATCACCATGACTGATCTCACTTCTGGTTCATCCGCCTTCCTCTCACGATTTCATCTTCCTTTATTTCTTTTCCTTTGTCAATCATGTTCTTAAATTAAAATTTCGATTATTTTCCGCTGACTTTTGCTTGGTTTTCATGTGCAGCCCTCGGCGAAGACAATCGAGCCGACCTAGTCAGTGCTCTCAAGGTCTCGTTAACACTTTCCAGTTCCTGAAATCAAGTTTATTTACTTTTTCTCTTTATTCTGTGTAAAGCTTTGAGGATGACGATTCTCCTGTATTTCTCGCCTGAATACATGTTTTTTGGTTGGATTTTGATGTTAGTTTGAATTTTGGATTAATTTATTGGTATATGATTTTTGCGGGGTTGACTTTGTGTGCAGAGCAAGATACAGAGTCTAGCTGGACAGCATTCTGAAATTCTAGAGAGTTTATCCCCTAATGTCAGGAAGCGTGTTGAATTTCTTAAACAGATTCAGGTATATCCTCTAATTGTTAATTTTTCAGTATCGATGCTGCTTTTGTGGATTGCTTATATTTTATATCCTTTTGTTCGTTTGTTGTGTAGTTTTTCCCTCCATGTAAACAGTTTATCAGTGATGGTGGTGCATCTTAAGTTCAATTTTAATTGGGAGCATTGATTTCTAGAGTTTCTGATTTTTGTTGAACTTTTGTATGATCAGATGTTGGCTTCGGATGGGGCAAAACATTTTTGGACTGATCTAAAATTCATTTTCAATATTTTATAATTTTTATGTTTGTAGCCTGAGTACTTATCTGTATTTCCTATGAGGGTAAATTATTTGTTTTGAGTTTTGATTTTGATTGGAGTTTTGCTCTTTAGTTAGACCTTTTTCACTGCTTGTTTTGACATGACCTTCCCCATTATTAATGTGTATCTTTTTTTTAAAATTTAAATTAGCTATTTTGCAAAGATGAGCGAATGTGGTGTCGCATAATGTCAGCTTCTGAAATTGTTAATGGATTGTGTAGGATGAACATGATGAACTAGAGGCAGATTTCTTCAAGGAGAGAGAAGCTCTTGAAGCTAAGTACCAAAAGTTGTATCAGCCATTGTACACAAAGGTATCTTGAGGATTCGGTAATTTAGTTAGAGACCTGCACATTATGTTTTGGTTATCATTATTGGTGTCGCATAATCTGCTTCTTATGGATACCAAACTTGATGCTATTTAAGGCAGACATTTTTGTTTCTATTATCCACTATGAGCATACTTCATGATCTTTTAATCTATTTTGAAATTATTGATTCTGATTTGTACTGGAGAATTTGATGTAATGCCTTTGTCAATGAACTTATTAATAAATGGATGCAGCGTTATGAAATAGTAAATGCTGTTACTGAAGTGGAAGGGGTAGCAAATGAAACGACCAATGGTAGGTAGTAAACTATAGAATGACTCCTTTTTCTTTTGTTGTTTCCATTCTCTGATATTGCAATATGTTTGTGACTTGTGTAGAGAAAGGAGTGCCTTCTTTTTGGCTCAATGCACTTAAAAATAATGATGTGTTGGCTGCAGAGGTTAGTCAATGGTGTTCCAACTCTAATTTTTTACCCCTGGAAACTTCTTAGTTTTGCATCAAAGTTACATTTGTTTTGTTGTACCAAAATAATTATGCTTTTATTGATCCTTTTACTGCTTTTTTACTATGTAGATTTCAGAGCGTGATGAAGGTGCTCTCAAGTTTCTTAAAGACATCAAGTGGAGCAAGATAGAAAACCCTAAAGGGTTCAAGCTTGAGTTCTTTTTTGATACCAATCCTTACTTTTCAAACTCTGTCTTAACAAAAACATATCATATGATTGATGAGGATGAACCTATATTGGAGAAAGCAATTGGGTATGTTATTCATGTTACATGTTGCTGCAATGTAATTTGTTTCAATTGTTCAGAATCTTGTAAAAATGGTTAGGTTTGATGTTGATTAAGGTTTGGTTGCTACTGTTTTTAATAGGACGGAAATTGAATGGTATCCGGGAAAATGCTTGACTCAGAAGATTTTGAAGAAAAAGCCCAAGAAGGGTGCGAAAAATGCTAAACCAATTACCAAAACTGAAAACTGTGAAAGCTTCTTCAATTTTTTCAAACCACCGGAAGTCCCTGAAGATGATGATGACATTGATGAAGATTTGGTATGACATTTTGTTTCAACAAACTCAAGGGCAAAAATAAACACAAAACTCGTTTCTATTGCTATAATAGTTTCATTTTTAACAGGCTGAGGAACTTCAGAATCAGATGGAGCAAGATTATGACATTGGGTAAGCTTAATTTCTGTGGTTTACTAGTATGATCCTTATATTTCTTTATTGTCTAACATGTGGCATGGTCGTTGATGCTGTCTAAGCATGACTGTTGATTCATGGTGCTCCTTGTATCTGTATTCTTGAATCTAAAGTTAATCTTTATTTCTGTTTAGGTCAACTATAAGGGACAAAATTATCCCTCATGCTGTATCATGGTTTACTGGGGAGGCTGAACAGGCGGATGAGTTTGAAGATCTGGAGGAGGATGAGGATGAAGATGAATATGAGGAGGATGAAGAGGATGATGATGATGACGACGACGAGGACGATGATGAGGAGGAAGACAATAAGACTAAAAAGAAGGTATGATGTTAATTGATATGGAGTTTTGAAACCTTGGTTTGTTTTTTATTTGAGCCTGAATTAATGTATTTGTTGTTCACCCTTATTCTTATCAATTTCTGTTGTAATGTTGCAGTCATCTGCCTAAGATATTTTGAATTTGGTCTGAAAGAAATTATATGGACACATAATTTCACCCAACAAATGTCATGTTTTTAAATTTGTTTTCTGTGGTCTTTATTTTCCATGACTCTGGTCATTGCATTTGCATTCCTGATTTCCATTTTTGGTTATAAATGTTCAGAGGAGTGGAAGAGCACGTATTGGTGATGGTCAGCAGGGTGAGCGACCTCCGGAGTGCAAGCAGCAGTAGTTTAATTCTTTGGAGTGGTATGCAGATGATGGGTATTTTTGAGATCTTATGGTGCCGGATGAAAAATGGGTTTCAATTTTTATGCAGTTTTTGGTGGTCCTTGATTCATTTTCCCTCCCTAGATCCTATAGTCTGAATTTATTTTAGTCCCTTTCTCCTTTTTCCATCCATTTAGAGAATGTGGTTATTATATATATATAGTCAGGGGTACTGTGATTTGTTACTGTTGGGGTATTTGGATGTCATTTTGGATTCTTGAATTATTTATAGGTTGGTGTGCTTTGGTTACAATAATTTTTCTTGTTAATTTTTTCATTCACAATTTTGTTTCATAATTTGAATTAGTATTGCCTCAAAAGTACATTTCTATTTACCTTTTGTCCATTTCTTCAGAATATCGCAGCTTCCGTTTTAGTCTTTCAAATACTGTAATATTTACTTTTAGTACTTTGAGAAAATGAAGTGAAACACTACAACACAACACGGAAGATCCTTTTTAGAGATCTATCTGTAATATTTGAGAAAAATTGAAGTAATGATGTGTGATGCTCATGTTCCTTTGCAATGTTGCTGCATGTAATTAATTAAAGAACAAAAAATATATTGAAATATTTGGCATCGATTGCCGATAGATATTTTATATTAAGGCTTAAATAAGTTAATATTTTTAATATATAATCAAGTTTTTGTTTTGAGTATTCTTTAAATTTGGTATCAAATAGTTTAAAATTTTTCTAGTCCACTATATACTTAAAGCATTAGCAGTAATATGGTGTAAGGGACCTGTGCTTACGATTATTTTGCGTCACCAATAAAGTCCTGAATGCACATGCCAGATAATTGAAGCAATAGGTGAGTTCATCGACAGGAAGACAAGTTGCAATAGGTGCCCATAAAAAGTAGAAGGCTCATGAAATTAAACTATTTCCAAGTTCCATGAAAGTAAAATCTATTTTTGGTTTACAAAGAAGTGAACAACAGTTGAACCAAGTGTCATCAGATCCTATAAAGTTAATAGCTTAATTAAATTGGCATTGCAAGGGCAACAATATATGTTGAAGACTTTTGCATACATGATAAATGCCTTCAGCATTGGATGATACATGATAAAGTATTACAAATAGATGGAAATTTGGCAAACCTTTTGCATATCTATTGAATCCACCCCAAACTATTAAGTTTTTCTAAAAATAAGTGAGATACATTTTATATTTTCAAAAATCTTATATTGCATAATATATATATATATTCTAAGTAACTCACCGATTACTCTTCTAAAGTTAAAATTATGGCGAAATCGAAGTCGAAATTCTAAACAAACAATAAATCACATGGTGTAATTGATTGTGACTATATCTCAACAATTTTTTTTTGGGCAAAATTTAATAACAAAAATAGTATAATAATAAATAACATATACTCCTTTTTCTTTTGTGATCTCGATAAAAGATCTCAATCAAAGTTCATGGGCCGGGGCCAACAAAGCTGTACACACACCGAACCTTTCCTTACACAAAAAACAAAAAACAAATTGTTCCCTCGGCAGTTGGCAATGGCAATAGAAATTGAAAATGGAGGGAAATAAAACCCTAAACCCTAAAATAAAGAGAAAAAGAAGAAAAAAGACATTCTAGTTTACCTCAGGCACTGCACACTTCATTCGTGAACAAAAACAAAGCATTATTTCTTTTTTAGCGCTTCTGTTCCATGGCGTGGCTGCTTCGTAACGCTAACATTTCCCTCCTCAAACGTTCTTTCTTCCACTCCGACCTTCTTACGGTGAGGCATTATATGCTTTTATTTTCTTTTTTGAAGAATGCTATTTTTAAATTTATTTGGTGCATGAATGGATGGTGGTGATTTTCTGGTTCCCTTTTGCTTGCAGCGCTTTTGCTGCAAACCAGGACTATTGGGCACGTCTCAAGTTTTGAGCTTTTCAACTCGTAAGGGTTTTTAATAGTATCATTCTAAGTTTATTGTCTAACGTTGTGACATAAGGAATCTGTCTGTTATCACCTATGTCTGTTCATTTTGCTGTTTTGACTCTCGTATTTAGGTAGATATTTGTTGCTATGAACCAAGCAGGAGCGGAAAAAAATGTGCATTTCACTTTTATTTATTGCATGGGTTTTGTGCCTTTTAGTCATAGTAAGCACAGATGCTGGCTTAGGGGTTGCTGCTTTTTCCTTCCTTTTTGTTTAGGTTTTTCTTGGAGTTTGTGCTGATGATAACTCAATAACGTTTTTATTTTTGTATGCACTTGAAGGTAAAAGGAGGTCTAAGTCAGATGGAAGTGACTCAGGTGAAGAGAACATGTGTAAGAAAGATGTGGCCCTGCAACAAGCTATTGATCAGATCACTTCTGCATATGGCAAGGGATCTATCATGTGGCTTGGTCGTTCCGTGGCACCTAAAAATATTCCTGTGGTGTCCACTGGTTCTTTTGCTCTGGATATAGCACTTGGGGTTGGTGGTCTTCCAAAGGTATCTATTTCTTGTGCTGTTCCAGAACCTTAATATATTAAATAATTTTTCTTGTTGATGGCAAAAAGCCTTTCCATTTTTTATTGGTGTAGTGTGGGGAGTTCAATTTGTTAGTTTTCTCTCCACATTTCTTGTGTATTTGCTAATTATAATAATTATACAACTTTATCTGGTCTTTGAAAATCAGTATATATATTATATCTTGTTAATTTGATAGTTTACTTTGCAACTGCAAAACATGTTTTTGGGTATGAGATGTTGCTAGCGTTTTGGTTTCCATATATGTTAGCCACTTAGTTGGGATGTATATATTGAGAAGAGCAACAAAGAGAGAAACAATCCTATTTTTCGTTATGGAAATGCTATGTTACGATAATTTTATGTAACTGATCTGTGTAGGGGCGTGTTGTGGAAATATTTGGTCCAGAGGCTTCCGGGAAAACAACGCTTGCTTTGCATGTGATTGCAGAAGCACAAAAGCTAGGAGGTTATCTTTATATGCTACTTTTGAAGTGATAGTTGAAATTTTAATTGCTTTTGGTTGTTTTAGATTTACAATTACAATTCAACTTTTCTTACATGACTATGACAGTAATTTAGTGATCATTTGTCCTTTGTGTGGCTGAGGGAGGTAATATTTTGGATGGATGCTTTTTGTTTTTGTTGTTATGATTTTTAACGAATTGTTATGCTTTTTTAATGATTGTCTAAATCATGTTCTAACACACTGTTCTAACTAATATTGTTTTGTATTTTAATCCATGCTAGGGTTCTCATTTTTCAATCCTTGCTTCTATACTATGAGCCAGTTTTTGGTAAACTTTTCAACAAACACTTAATGGAGAAAAAACTAAAGTGAATGAAGAGCTAAGATGAACCAAAGTTTTGTACAAGCTAAAATAACTTATGTAGCTCAATTTAGAAGTTCCATCTTCAACATCTTTCTAAGCATCTAGAAGCTTAAGGGAGGCTGAGATTCTTTCCACTGGAAGGTCTTAACAATAGAATTTAGCTGTTGAAAATTTGCCATAAGTTAGATAAACGAGTGTATTCTGCCCTCCCTACTTGTCTGACATTTTAATATTGAAGGAAGAGGTTGTTTGTGTAAGTTAAATTGAACAGAAAAGTTATTTTGTTTGGGGGGGGGGCGATGTTAAATCTGAATTTATATTACCATGAGTTTAAAGATAACAAGAAGGCTGTATATTTTTGGTTTTGTTTACTTTTTTATAGTATCTCTGTTAGTTACTTTGTTTGTGTCATGCAGGCTACTGTGCATTTGTTGATGCTGAGCATGCACTTGATAAGACACTTGCAGAGTCAATTGGTGTAAATACTAAAAACTTGCTTCTCTCACAACCAGATTGTGGTGAACAAGCACTTGGCCTTGTTGATACCTTAATACGGAGTGGTTCCGTTGATGTAATTGTTGTTGACAGTGTAAGTATGGAACCCTTCATGTTTTTTTTTATTAGCACTTCTTCAGTGTGATTGTTGATTGTGTGTACATGTGTGCATGGTGCGAATTGTGAAAGCAGTAATACACCCTATAAATGCTTTAAATCACTTAGAAAAAGTAAATATTGAATGACAAGTTTGTTAATATGTATGTATTATGAAATAATCCTTATCTTAGTTTTGCACTTGGAGATTGTTGTTACTGCCTTTATTGGGTGGAAAATAATTTGTTGATTGCAGGTTGGAAGGCTGAGATATGTGATGTGGATGCTGTTCTGGAAATGACTTATTTTCTAGCATAAACACAGTCTAACTTTGCTGTTAAATATTTTTGTTTTATATATATTTGACTTAAGTATGTTTTTAGTTCCAGTAAAATAAGCAAGTTTTGAATTCAAAGGGATGAAAAACAAAGAAACTTATAGGGACCAAAATCAACAAGTTAATTTTATAGGGAATAAAAACGTATTTAAACTTTTTTTTTTTTTTTTCCTTTTTAACGTCAATGAGGTTTAGCTTATATTTGATATCTTGTTTCACTGGGTTGATGATCTTATAAGTTGAGTCAATGACTTCAACTATTTCCCATGTTTCTATTTATAGGTGGCTGCTCTTGTTCCTAAAGGTGAGCTTGATGGTGAGATGGGTGATGCTCACATGGCAATGCAGGCTAGGTTGATGAGCCAGGCTCTTCGGAAATTGTGTCACTCCTTGTCACTTTCCCAGTGTATATTGGTTTTTATAAACCAGGTATCAGCTACAGTTGCATTGCATTGTTATCAACTTTCCTATAGTTGATTATGGATATTTATTTATAGTGAGCAATTTAGCCTGCATACCTAATTTATGTTTTAGTCGTGGCAGTCTTATGAGTACTCATTCCATCTTGGTGTTTGACTATGTTTTATGGACTTTCTGAGCCAAAGTGCTTTGCTTTCTAATCAGTGGTTGAGGTTGGGATTGGTTAGTCTTACAGTCAATGTGCTCTTACGTTCATTATTACGTTTGCTGCTTTAATTATCATGGTTGATGACCTTTACTTGGTTGTTATGTTGAAATTAAACGTTTGTTCCCTTTTTAGCTTTGTTCTTTCCTATTTAACGTCATTGCCTAGCTCCATTATCATCCTTTTTTCATTTTTACCCAGTTAAAGCTGCATAAGTGCAAAATTTAGTGCCTGCTTTTAACTGTGAAAAGTATTGGCTTTGGAGGTAAAAAAAGTTAAGCTATAAATTAATCGACATAAGCTGTGGTCAAGGGATGTACAACATGCATATGTCATTCTGGAATATCCCCTTATTCAAATTCAACTAATTATATTTTCTTTTAATTTTCTTCTAATAGCTGTGGTCAAGGGATGTACAACATGCATATGTCATCCTGGAATATCCCCTTATTCAAATTCAACTAATTATATTTTCTTTTAATTTTCTTCTAATGGCAAAATGTTACGGATGTTATGGAATATGAGTTTTATTCCCGGTGTAAATAATGGCCCTGTAAACTCTAAAATAAGATGGAGTGTGTCAATGTACTTTTGTTTTATTGATTATCTAAATTAATTGATGTGATATGGATCTATTTGTACTGAAGTATTGGTGTGCCAGTTACTGTTTGCTATTTAACCAATTTTATGAATTTGTGATATTGATTGTGCTTGATTGAGGTAGTTGTCTGATTCCAGGGAATGTTCTTGACATGAATGTTATTAAATTTCTGTTTATGTATTGTACAGAATTGTGTATCTATTCTTTTCAATATAAAGTAATTTTGTTGAGAGTAATTGAGACTTGAGAGAAAAGGTTATCTTTTAAATATGAGAATTTTTGTGTATGCTTCTCCAGGTGAGGTCGAAGATATCTACTTTCGGGGGATTTGGTGGTCCTACTGAAGTTACTTGTGGTGGTAATGCACTGAAGTTCTATGCTTCTGTGCGGCTAAATATCAAAAGAATTGGGTTTGTCAAGAAGGGTGAAGAGGTACAAATCATCCTCAAATTCTTTTGTTCTATGCATACTGAATACTATAGCCGTGCGTTCGCAAATAGCATCAGCAAATATGTGAACTTTTCACTTCTCTTCCCAATATATTGTACCTTTATACAAGCACTCGAATAACAGTTAGATAGAAGGATCTTTGTAAGGATCCAAGCAAAATTGTTAACTTGATTTTTTGTTGGATGCAATGCAAGATGGTTCTAATGCTGACCCTCAAACTAGTGCTCTTCACTAGCTATCTATGCTTGACTCTTATTTCTCACACTTATTCTTTTGTATGTGGTCTCTGCTTGTGCCTATTTCACAGCTGTAGGTCTTAATTTTGATTTAAACACATCAAGGTCTAATTAATGGTATGGATACTTATTCTTTATGGCATTTTTTTATGCAGACTTTAGGTAGCCAGGTTCTTGTCAAGGTTGTGAAGAACAAGCATGCTCCTCCATTTAAAACTGCACAGTTTGAGCTTGAGTTTGGCAAGGGTATAAGTAGAGAAGCAGAGGTTATAGAGTTGAGCATAAAATACAAACTCGTAAAGAAGAGTGGTTCCTTTTATGAATATAACGGCCAGAATTTCCATGGCAAGGATGCTTTAAAGAGGTTCCTGGCAGACAGTGATGGTATACAAGAATTAGCATCAAAACTCAGGGAGAAGATTCTTAATACGGAGCCGGAACTGGACCCAGAGGAGGAGGCTATGATTGGAGATCTTATGGAACAAATGGAAGAAATGGTATCAGTTGATTCCACTGACGAAACTGCTGTCGCTGCTGTTGAAGCATAAATTGCCAACAATCTCGAAACATGGGTTCCTCTAGTTTCCCTGCTTGAAAAGTAAAACCCCATTCAGAAGGGCTGTCACAGATGAAGGTGGCTCTAAAATGGTGAAAATGGATGCCTCATAGTTCCTAGCTTGGAAAAAGTTTCCTCCTTTTGAGCACAAGGCACATTGCCTTTGTATATTGAATATTTTGGTCATTTTAAGGGAGCCATGATTCATGTGGTGGTCCAAGTTTTGTGACTGGGAGGAAAAGACTATCTGATGAGGAAGCAAGGGCCCAAGGCTGATCAATAGTTAAGTAATTTGAATGATTGTCTGTGTGTATATGTATTTTTTGTAGTAAGATTTTGCATGGATTTACTCGGCCAGTCAATCAACACTATTCGATGAAGATCTGTCACATGATCTTAGCTTAGTAAGTTAAGTTAGATTTATGCTGTGTTTAGATGCTGTCAATTGATCTGAAATTCATGGCAAATTACAAAATGATGCAGAACCTTATACTAGCTACTATTTTAATGAGAATATATTGGTGCTTTATGGGAAACCAGACATTTATAACACTTGTTGGATATTGAGCTGTTTGATCTTTTTATCCTATGATTTTGTGATCAACATCCAATGAAAGGTCGTTATTAGTAAAGAATTGCAAAATTATAACCCATTTTAGGAAAATATAGACCTGTTGATTATATAATTATTCAACTTTAACATGACCAATTTATTACTTTTGATGAATTTTATCAAATAACGAGTTTTTCCATTGATGATAAGTACATGTAAACTTATTTTAATTATTTTTGTTGATGTGATATTAATAATAATAATAATAATATAATGTTAATATATATATATATATATATATATATATATATATATATAAAATTAAATCACCAAAATAAATGAGTTAGTTTATTAAAATATTAAAAACTGAAAACAATTATTAATCTACCACCAACCTAATTTAAGCAATCAATTTTATTTTGATTCAGAATTAATATTTTTTAGGACAATCCAGTTTGGAAGGGTGACTCACTGACCTCTTGTTTAACTTCATATTTTCTATGAAATGATGTGACTGATAAAATTATGATCACATGATGAACTTCATCAAAATTCTACCACACAATTAGTCTCCAATATTACTTCCAACTTTCAACATCCAAACATGGAATATGAAAGTTCTCTTGTTGGAGGACCAATCTTTTGGTGCACGCAATTGTTGAGACATTAGGTAAGTCAAGCTTCAAACTTTTGCTTTCATTCTTTGAATGCTCTCACTATGTACATATCAAACTAAAACTAGGGTTATCATGATGTTTGGGTTTTGTTTTGACCAAGTTCAATTTGTGTAAAGTCCATGTAATTAATAACAAAAAACTTAATATAATAGTTATTGTAATAAACACTCAATTTAATTCATTTAACATGTTTTTAAAGTTTATATTTTAAATTATAATTTATTCGTTAAACTTAAAATATATTATATAATTTAAATATCTACACTTTTATGACGATAAAAAACTATGATTAAATATTTGTTTCTTGTTATCTTACCATTATCTTTTTATTCTTATTCGTTAGATTAAAAATTAATTTCGTGCATATTATTATGATTTGTGATTAATTCGATGAATTTTCACACATATTAATGACTAAGATTCTCTATTAAATAATTTGTTCTAACAAAGTGTCAATAGTGCTTAATATCTAATTACCACGTCAATAGATAAATTTACAAAATGTTAATTTAACAATGTTAAACTCACTCATTTTTTAAAGGTGGAATCTAATTTTATCAATTTTAAAAATGTATAAATCAAAATGAAATTTGGCAAAAATATAGCAATACGATTTTTTTTAACATGCTTCATAGATTAAATTTGACTTTTAAGAAAAATATACTATTTTCTAACAATTTTTATAGTTCTAAATTTTCCAATTTTGTGATTTTCTATTTTCTAGTTTATATTACTTCAAATACATATCGTAAATTGTGTAGAAGAATGGAGTAAGGAAAATAGAGAGTCAAAAGCGCCGTCTCTAAAGCTGTGACGGATTTTTCCACTAGAAATTGATTGACTAAATAGAATCCAAAGTTGCGACCGATTATTTATTACGACTATGCGATTATTTTGTCGCCATAAATCTCTTTCGTTCCCATAAATTTCTGTCGCCGTCGACATACCATTTTTCCATCAATGCATGCAACAAACCTACACTCACCTTTAACCTAATTCTAATAACCACTTATTATTACACACACAACTCATAAATAAGGAAATTAAATCTATTAACAAAGTTTAGCTCACTTAATCAAACAATTAATTCTTATGAACAAGAAAAATAATTTAAACCACATAATCAATTAAATTCATATGATGTATTTCATCAATCGTTCAAATAAAATATGTGTATTGTATATATTTTAGGTAATCGGTTCGTAACATGCTTATTATAGATGTATAGGTAAAGGGATTCACAAGTCCATACGGAGGAAATTCACAAAATATTATAAATAAATGAGAATATTATAAATACTATAATCTTACATTTAAATTATCTTCTGATAAACGTCATACGGAGTTTTATTCATTTATTCTTTTAAAAGGTCAACGTTTAAAAAAAAGAGAGATTAGATATGAATGATTAATCACCATTAATGTACACATCATTGAATTTAATTAACTGCTACCTCCATCTATATTAATACACATCTATTAATAAATATTTAATTGATGAAAAATACTACTATATTTCAAAATTTGAAAAAAAAAATAATTGAGAGAAAAAAAGATTAACTTAAAACATAAATTATTTTTACTTAGAAAAACTAAAACATCTGTATAGTTAATTAATCATAACATTGAAGAAAATATAGGTATATATATTACAACTAATATGCATCAATAAAAAAAATTAATAAATTTGTAGAGGAATGACCATATTTAATAATAAGATGAACGACTGAAACGAACACAGATTATAATAAATGTGTAAACTTAATTAATAAAACCAATTTAATTATGAAACCAACGTATAAGAAGAACCTCTGGGCAGTTGAATTGAATGGATTTGAAGGACTTAAAACACACTAATAAATCTTAAAGAGAGGTGAAGTTGGTCAAAGTTATTGGTCTTCTTGGTACTGTGCCAAGTCAGCAACCACTCTTCTCACTGCTTCCTCGAAGGCACACTGGTCCCATTCACTTCCCTGCATAAACATCAAAAGCTTGATTATTCTTCACAGCAAAAACAAAAAAGGGTCCTACTAATCATAAACTTTTGGTACACATAGTCTTTGAGAGCGACTTTTTGGTTTATATCAAGAGTTTTAATGTGATTTACAAACATAACATGCAACATAATATATATAATAGCAATATAATATATTATTTGATAGTAGACTAGAGATGAACACCAAATTGAAACGGGACTTGGGACAACATTCTAAAACTGTGACGTTATTTAGTCGTTTTGTGTAATTATAATGCACCGAACAACCACCACCACCACCACAAGTTTAGTTTTCTTCTTTTAGGAGGTAGCTTTATGGAAATTATCAACATTTTTATGCTGATTCATTCGTGTTCGATGGCTGCCAAAATAGAACCAACTTTTTTTAGTTGAATATGCGATGGGTGCACTTTCGAAGCTCCTTCGTTTTAACTTTAAAACATTGTAATATGCAAAATAAATATATATTTCCATCAAAAGGGGTGTTCTTGGATCCTGCCAAAAAGCAGCCGCCACATTTTTTCCTCATCTGAATGTCTGGTTTTGTTGTACAATTCTACTCTCATAATGCAGAGATAGACTTGTCTTGTTGCGCCACCACTTTTGAAAAGTTTGACATATAGTGCAAATAGTTATTATTATATACATGTATATAAACTTTCTTTCATTTGAATATATATGTCCTGCATGCCCTTACATATGTGGGACTGTTTTTGAAAGTTATCATCTTCCTTGCTGAAGCTAATTAATTATATTTTATGAACAAATTGTATATTTCCTAAACATTTATATATATCAGTTGCTCATATAGTAATTAATCACAACTTTATATAGTTTATGTGTTTTAAACATATGGACATCCTATTTATATGTCTGTATATGTATTGTTTGATTGATTCAATATAAGAACTAAGTTAATTATTATAGGAGAAGAAGCATGTGAAATATCTGACTTGATATTTAATCAAGTGTGCATATATAGATTCCTTCATTGAAGGAATCTGTGTTCTTGTAAAAGTGTCTCATTGTAATCAATCAATACTCATAGCCTTATACAGAAGAAAAATATTTAAAATACAAAGTCATATATAACAAGAAACAATGTTAGTTGTTAGAGTTGTTCTCATAACTAGAGGTTTTGTATGATAAAGTGATCAATATAAACATTATAATAAATTTATGCATGCTGGTGTTGTGATATATCATAGTAATAGTGTAATACTACATACCAAATTCTTATAGTTGTAGTGCTGTCTGTTGAACCACAATGTTAAACAAAAATTATACATTACAGCAAGCTTCCATTATCATATAACATTTATTCTAAGTTATTTTATACTATTTTATGATTTGTTGTAGAGATAGATATACACATACCTGAATAATCCTTAATCTAAAGGTTAGTTGACGAAGAACATTATTCCCTTCTGCAATGTGGGTGCTTGCGTCCATGGAAACCAAGCTCAAGTTGCGATCTCGTTTTAGGAATTCCAATAAGCAGATTAACAAATCAACTTGAGAAACTTGTCCTCTCACATTCACATGCAAGTCCACCATTCGCTCTTGTGACGAGCTTGATTCGGGTACATGTGAAACTCGGACACTTAATCCTTCATTTGGTGATACTGTAGCCTTGGTTTCTTCGGATGAAGATTCTTTGGGTGGCAAAAGTGATGTCAAACCCTGATTCCTTTTGCTTAGTTGATCAACTTCAGCCATAAGAGAGCTCAGTGTCTCCTTTGCTGCTATTAGTATAGACGCTTTGTCTTTCTAACAAATTATACAATGCTCAAAGTAAGGCATGAATCGGAATATATACAGCACATCAAATGCAAAAGTTAATATAGCAACTAGTGTAAAGATTTTTCATCTTTTCATCTTAATACAAACTATCACAAATTTATTAACTTTTATTATGAGCATCAAATATCATATATAATGTAATTTCTGGTCCATTGATTAGAATTATAACTATAGCTATGGTGTTGGTTTGAGTTTTGCTCATTGCATAAAGCATTGGTTATAAAAGAATATTGAATGGATTAGTTCAGTACCTTTGTTCCAGGAGGAAGTAGTGCTCTAAGTGCTTGGAAATTCTCGTTTAGTTTCTCACGCCTTCTTCTCTCTGATATCATATGATGCAGCTGGGTATTAGTGGGACGGGACGTTGCTTGAATGCGTTCTCTCATTCTCATAAAATTTAACTTTCTGAAGAATGCTAAGGATCTATTCATGAGGCTTTGCCTTCTGAAATTGGAAGCCATATGAGGACCAATGTCAGATCTATACCTCTTGAAAGCACTAGCTTCCGGATGCACCACAGGAGCAAAAGGCAAGTTTTGGTGCTGTTGAGAAGTTGGAGATATAACGTGGAGAATTGCTCTCATGATTGCATCCTGTTCACTTTCTGGTGTGGGGAATTGGGTTAGAGAGGGTTGTGCCAATGCTTGAATGGCTTGTTGGTGAGGACTGGTGGCTGTGTTTGGCACTGGCTGCATTGGGGGCACTCTTGCTCCTCCAAGGGTCTCAGGAAAGTGGGATTGAGAAGTGCCTGGAATACTGAACAGAAGAGACGAGTATTCAGGGCTACCTGTGGATATTGATCTCAAAGAAGATGAAGATGATGTAGGAGGGTTTTGATCAATTTGCTGGGACTGTCTAGTAGAAAAATCCTCAGGAAACAAACTCCTAAGTGCTGTTTGAATGTCAACCTGCACAGAAAAAAAAGGGAAATAAAAATTGAATTAATTATACAAGATTGGTTCCTCTTTTTTGGTTAATGAATATGGCATTAATTACATATAATGTATACTTACTTGGGACATATTTAAGAAACCAAGCTCAATTTCTCCTTTGTTACACCCCATGAAAACAGCAGTCTGAGAAGAATAAGACACAAGCATTACTCAGCTATAAGATTCCTGGTTCATCGTGAATCTTTATTAGGAAAGAAAATATAAAGTATTTTCAGGTTCTTTGGCAACAAACGAACCTTAATCCTTGCCGCCTGTAAAATAAAAGTAAAAAGCTAATCTTAGTAACATAGCCATAAAAAAAAAAAAACTTAAGTATAACTCTGAAGAGAATTCTCTTTCATCAGAAAGATACATTACCTGAAAGAATTGTGTTTGTATATCTGTTGATGCTAGTCTCAGAAGTTCCAATTGTTGCAGCTCTAGATAGGGATGATGGTTCCTAAAAGCTAGTCCAGGAACACGGCTGAATAAAACAAAAAGCATATGTTTACTTTTTTAAAATAAAGAATTTGTTTATTATAGCATTCAGATGCAAATAAATGCGTCAATTTACATTAAAAATTATGGAACACAAGAGCTAGCCTTACTCATCATTAACATCAAATGTTAAAGTCCGGAACTGACTGAAAAGTTGTTCTGCCACAGTCCCCAAACTAGAGCTTGGTTGGTTGTTTCTTACATTGTAGATACCATCCAAGAAGCACAAACGACTATTTATGCCAAAAAAAGAAAAAAGAGCAGACCAAGCTCAATCAGCAAGCCTGATCAGAACTATGTCATGTTTATAAATAAAAAAGAAGAATGTGTGTATATGCACAAATAAATATACTTGGGTGAAATGGAATCACATGCCCATAGACAAATATAACTGCAACCAAAAGACTGCACCAGAAATTGGATAAAATCAGCCCTGGCGGCTACAGGGAGAGAGAAAACGTTTTCCATGGAGTGCATGGTTCTTGATGCTAATGCTTTTGCATCATGATCATGAGACAAAAGAGAATACGTTTTATGTCTCTAGTAATACTTTTCCTCCCCTTTCTATATGCCATTTGATTTTACTTTTAGGAAATGCAATCTACTGCTATATGCTTGAGTGAGGGGGTGGTTTGGTTTCATTGGCAAAATAAACAAAGACATGATGAAGAGATAAAGTGGAATAGAAGAAACAAGATGCTTGCTAGGTTAGATAGGGAGACAAAATAATCTTCAACCCTCATAAATAATTAGCCACTGAAAATTTCAAGATATATATATTTATTTCACGTGTGAAAGAAAGAATGAGTATCAGGTTTTGAAAAGTACTAAAGTTGGTTGATCCCACTTTGAGGACATATGTATATACGATGAGACATGATGAGAAGTGTGAAACCCAAATTAATGGAGGAGAAAATAAATGAAAGAAAGAAAAGGGTCCCCAGGAAAGAAAAAACAAATAAAAGCACCTCCTGCAAATATGAAAAACTGTCTTCTTGTTCCAGGGAGGTTAGAGTTTGAAAAGAAGTGTAGTTCCAATTAGAACTGAACTCAGAAGAAGACGAAGAGAGAGAGAGAAAGATGTGGTGGAAGTTGAGATGGTTTTGAGAATTGATGGAAAGCGAAAGGAAGAAGAAAAGTAGAGTAGGAAGCAAATGGGTGGAAAAGTAGTAAAGTCAAAGTCCATGCTTGAAAGTTTTGAAAATTAGTCAAGGCTGGAAGGCACGGTGTTTCGTTCCACTTGACATCTGTTCACTGCTTTTGAAATTTCTACTCCTCACTATATATTTCATGCACCTTATTTTGCTGAAGAAACATGTATCTAAATTAGATGTATCATTAATTATATATCTGAGAAACTTCATATAAAATGGTTTAATGTTCAAAACCTAGGGTTTTAAACGCTTATTAAATTATATATAATTAGTTGTATTTCTTTTAAACAAAGACGTATTTGAAATTTCAATCAACTCACTTATCTGCTTTTTGATCTTTTTCTATTACCCCTCAACTCATTCTAAGATAAAGTAATATCTATTTGACTGTGATTTTATGTCTAAACCAAAATTTTCAACCTTAATTCTTAAATAATAGACTTAAATGTTAAATTATTTATACTAACAACTCTTGATAAATACTTGATTGTTTGGACCTTATTATTTTAAGCAAACAAGTAGAAAAGTAATATATAACCTAAGCTTAACCTATTGTTATACGAATACTAATAGTAATTAATAATACTTTTTATATTATTATAACATCCACTAATCCTTATTAATTATATAATGAACAATAGACTGAAAAATAGAAACAAGTTCTCAAGAGAGACAACAAAATATTCAACCTATTTGTTTACCAATTTGTAGCGTTTACTAATGAAATTGCAGTGTAACTTTGACTCTGATTTTTGTATATTTTAATTTAGATTACTCTACCATTCACACTTTGTGCTTATCGTTTATATTTATTTGCAACTCTCTTATTAACCAAAAAAGAAAATCAACTTGTAGTTTTTTATTTTTTTTATTTGTTAATATATGTTAATTAAGTGGTAATGTTGTTATTTAAGTTATGGATCAACCATCACTTTTGTGATTTTGAATCTTCACAAATCTAAGTTCTAGAATGCCGCAGCCACGTTTGATTAATCTTCAATGCATATAAGATTTTAACTACCATTAGCTTCTTCTGTGGTGTGGTCCAGAATCTTATATATAAAAAAATAAATTCGATACTTTATTTTTTTTGTATAAAATAATAATAACAAATAGGGTAAGTTTGGTTAAAGTTAAAATAAGTGTTTCTGAAATGAACAAAATTTAAAATAATCACTTATTTAAGAAGCAGATCAAAATTTGTGTATTAAAAAAATGAAAAGCTGTTTATATCCTTCTCAATCTTAAACCAAGTTCATGATATAATTATTAAGTCTAAAACATCATTGAAATAAGAAAATAATACTTTGTAACCAATACAAAAAAATCGTTTATTTCGACGGATTTTTACCGACGGATTTATAGCCGTCGGAAAATTAGTTATTATCGACTGAAAATTACCGATCGGATATAAAATATTTGTCAAAATTGGTCTTACCGACGAGATATATCCGTCTGTAAATTAATAATTAGTTAACGACGGATATATCTATCGATAAATTCGTCGATAAATTAACAATTACTTACCGATCGGATATATCCGATCAATAAAATTATATAATAATTACTTAATTTTAAATATATTCTAATAAATTAATTATTCATCTAATTAAAAATTTAAATATTTTTTCTATTTAAGAAATTAATTTAATCATAATTAGATTAATTTATAATAATTTATTCAATTAAATAATTTTAAAAAATAAATATTTAATTATATATAAATATATAAATGTATACATATAAAAATATAAAATATATAAAAATATAAATATATAAATATATTATATTTATATATTTATTTGGATATACATTTATTTGTATATAAATATAATTTATCGTAAACTATAATCGAAAATTTCCGGTAGCTTAGTGATTAGAGTATCGACCTCCAACTCTAAGGTAGGGAAATAAATAATAAAAAAGAAAATAAATAATAATAATATAAATAATAAATAAAAAAAGGTAATTCAAACTTCTAAAAATATAAAGAGGGGAAATAAATAATAAAAAAGAAAATAAATAATAATAATATAAATAATAAATAAAAAAAGGGGAGGGACAATTATTTTAATTTAAATTATAATTCAAACTTCTAAAAATAGAAAGGGGGAAATAAATAATAAAAAAGAAAATAAATAATAATAATAATATAAATAATAAATAAAAAAAGGGGAAGGGGTGTCTCTAGAAAAATAAGTTTTATAATAAATAAAAAAATTAATAAATAATAAAAATATTTTTGACATGTAACATTTACCGATTAATTTTGTTCGTCAATAATTTCAATTTTTCTTGTAATAAATAAGTTTTTTACCCATAATCAAATAAACAAAAATACCATGTTGAAATATATATTATCCATCATTATGTTACTTTTTCCTTCTTAAAAAAAAACTAAATCCAATATAATAATCAAGCCATATCTAGCAAGATGATAGAAACAATAAATGGCTCTTAAAGGAAAATCACAATACACAATTATACATTTATAAGACAATGATTATTTTACACAAGTTAATTCCCTAAGTGTTTATAATATAATGATCGATAGAGTGCAAATTCCCTAAGTGGAGAGTTTTGAGATCTTATAATCAATGAAGATGTTTAAGGAAGGTTTTGAGAAGGCATGAATAGGAAGAATGAATGATACACAAAATTTATGGCTCCCATTGTATACTAAATTGGTAATCAAATACGAAACATTTATATTCTACATTTATGGTTGATGTAAGAATATTTTATGTACAAATATAAGAGGAAATAAAGTATATATATATATATATATATATATATATATATATATATATATATATATATATATATATTCTACATTCAGAAGCCAATACAGAAGAAAAAGATGCTACCTAACACGTTCAATGGCTAAGTACAAGTTTTACAACTGATTTTAAATTTTGCATTCAATGTTCATTAATGTAGTTCCCATTGGCAACAACTAGGTATTTTTCCTATACTCAATGTTGATGCATGCCTGTGTTTATTGCATAAAAAGTCGAACAAAGAAAAATTATAAGCTAATAAAATTCTATGTTTTATTTGTAACACATTTACATGCTGGCCTGTATTAAAAATATGAACATCACAACATACTTTACATTAATGTATCTTATTATTTATGATGATGCGATTAAATTCTTGTTTTGAAAATTAGATCGGTTAATTAGAATGTTAGTTCTAAAAAAACCAGATTTTAATTAAATCAAAATAAAATTAGAAAAATTAAGATAAAATCAATAAAAATGAAATAATCTACTAAATTTTTAGATTAAATCGATTTTGATAAAAAAATTTCCATCAATTTTTTAATATAATTTTTTTATAAAAAATATAATATATTTTAATTTTTTTTTCTAACTTTAAATAATAGTTATTTTTATCTTATTTTAATAATTATTTATCTTTCACCCTTTTATAACTTTTATTATAATTTAGGATAATCGTAATAATAATCTTTATTTTTTTATATATAAAAAATATTTGGTATTAACTGATGTTCAATATTTTTATATATAAAAATATTTTTATATCTTTAAATAATAAAAATTGATGTTCAATATTTGTAGTCCCATAATAATTTGGAGAGAATAAGCATGGATATTAAGTCCTAGAAATTTACTATTGTGTTGGTTCAATAATAAGGTAATGCGATTTATAATAAGCAATAGATGATGTTTACATTTCTATTGGGATAGTTTAATCTTTGTTTGAAATGTATTTAGTTATATTAATATTGTGTTTCTTTAACATAATAAATCACTACTCATACAAATATATTATTTGAAAGCTGAAAATATTTTTTAATTTAACTTAAATTTTTTTACTAAAATGCAATTATTTGAGAGAGGTATAACATCTGAAAAACCATTCAAAGTTTGTACGAAGACTTTTGAAATTGCAAAAGTTGAAATTGAAATAAACCTCTTTTGGTTTACATTATGGCCACAGGAAGCTTCGTTACATTATATGCACATCCTTCACTATCATCACTTTCCCTTCTATGTTTTCCTCAAACCTCTTCTCAAATATATTAAACAAATATCTTCATAAAAAATGTTTACTATTTTTTTTATCATAACATATTTATATATAAATTTTACTATAAAAGATAAATTCTATTAAAAACAAAGGAAACTAAAAAAATATTGTGAATATGAATTACCTTTGCCTTTTTATGTATGATTTTTGTTGCTAAGGATAAAATTATGAAAGGAATTCGAGAAAATAAAAAGTAAATTAATGATGTGAATTCTCCTATTTTATTCAATTACACCTCATACATCTTTGTGAGATATTTTGTTTTTCTTTAATTTATAAATATAATTTATTATTATCCTTGAAAGGAAATTTTGAAATTTTTTAAGAGAAAGTGAGATTATTCATTTGTTATACTGTATTTATGCTATATCTTTTTTCTTTTATTTATCTTAATTATATGTGTCTCTCGAATTTTTTCTTGGATATAAAATAATAAATATAAAATATCTATCTTTGATTAACTGATTAAATTTATAATTAATAATGTTTCAACAGTTTTAACTTTTGTTTGTAAAAGTAATAAGATGTATCGCTTTTTTTTCACACTGTTAAACGCATTTTAGTATAAAAATATTGTTTAATAACTTAAATAATTATTAAAAAATACAAAGTAATATTATATATAATTTTTTTGGGTTGTGTGGACTGTGAAAACAATCATTACCCTTATAGGATCAACGTCTTCAGTAGTTTTTTTTTTTTTTTTTTTTTTTTTTAACTTTAACGTTCTTTATTAGTTTATACTAAGAAATTAGTCTCTTTATACATAATTATCGTTCAAATTTTGATTAAAAAGTGTTTAGTTACTTAGAGTACACATGGACAAGTTTCTTTATATATATATATATATATATATATATATATATTAGAAAAGAAAAAAACAATGAAATAATATTTTTATGTTAAAATTAGTTAATAAAAAAAATAAAAATGAGAATTGGGATAAATTATATAATTTTTTTACAAATTATCTTATGGACAAGCTAGTTTTAATTTATAAAATTTATAAAATATTTATAAAAAAGTTAGTTTAAACATTATATTACTTTAATTATTATTTTGAATAAGAAAAATTGTTATTAAAAAAAGTTATTTTTTAATTTTGGCTTATTATTATTTTCAATGTATATATATATATATATATATATAAATAAATGTTATTTCTTCCATTAACCTGACAAAATTACCATGTAGAAAATACGATAGTTATTGATATTATACGTGGATATGTATGATATATGACGTAAATTTGCACATTATACTAGTCTATTAAATAATTTATTAGTGTTGATAAAAAGAATAATATTACCTTATTTTACAATTAAAATGATATTGAAAATATGAATGAGGTAGAAAATTGAAAAAAAAAAAGATTTAGCTAAAAATAAATAAAAAATAGGGTTATGTTATGATATGAAATTTGGTGTGAATGCGGGTTGAAGCAGCGAAGAGACAGCAGACCTAGATTTGCTTCTGCCAACCATTCCTTTGTCTAGAGAGGATCGTAATGTATGAAGTTTCCTGTGTGCTTTCGTGTGGCTGAGATTATACAAGTCCTAATTAAAGGTTTCTTACATTTGCATGTTCCAAAAGAGACCGTACTGTCGTAGGGTCCTACTCACATCTCACAATTAGTCTTGTTTCTGGGACCAGAGTCTTCGGCTGGCCATAGAATTGACCTAATTTTCCAATGTCACTGCTATGACTATTACAACAACAGCCACCAATTTGGAAGATCTTGCTTCCACAAAATATAACTAAATTAATACAAATTTAATTACACAGGTCATTCTATCGCTGTTTCATCTTATTTCTCTAACTAATTAATTTCTTTCATGTTTCAAATGTTATTTTAATATTTCAGCTACTTTATATTCAAACTCAAAGTGTAATTCAACACTATAATTGCTCTATGCAAAGAAAAAAGAAAAAAAGTAATAACTAAAATGTAAGTTATAATATAACTAATATTCAACGTATTTCTATTTTTATCTTATAAATAAATTAATATTTATGATAAATCAAATTATATATTTGTGACTATTTAAAACTTAGTAGAATAATAATTATTTTTAATATATTATTAGGACAAGACTTGATATATAATGAGCCCATTTTCATGCTCTGGCCCATCGGGCCGACCTGCGGCCCATTTCTTGATTTGAGTCTCAGCGCGAGAATCGAAGTACACGCACATGCAGTTGTAGCCAATCAATCAGAAACGCAGAGAAGAGGAGCACACCTTGAACATGGCTCTGCCTCCGCAACAAAACCCACGTAAATCACTTCACCACTCCCTACCATTATCCGGATTCTCAACACTAACACGCTCGTTCTCTTTCGCAGTTGAATTTGATGCTTCATCTTTCGTTTGCTTTTCCAGCTGTTCGGCGACACACACTCACAATACTCAACCGGCACGGCCAAAAACTCGTGGGCGTATTGCATGAATCTGGAACCGGCGACATTGTAACCAACTCTCCTCGTTCTTTTTATTAGTTTTGCACAGTATAATTTCTACTGCTATATGTTCTTTTATCATTGATATTCTCAACTCAACTTGCAATATTGTATTAATCACTCTTTTTCCTCATTTGTCTTTACATAAGATACCTTAATAACTAATTAATAGCTAAATAAATATATAACTAATTAATAGCTAAATAAATATAATGTATTCATTGAGAAAGTTGGATTATTTTAATAAAAATTAATAAACAAATATTTATTACTATTTTTAATTTACGTGTACAAATCTTAAACGGGAGATAATTAACTGATGTAGTATATTTTTTTATAATTAAAATTAAAATTTATAACAAATAAATATTTTAATATGTGAACTATATTATAGTTAAAATTTATGATAAAGTACATTTTTAAATATATGAATTATGTTTTAGATTTATAATAAATAGTTTTTTAGTTTCACTTATAATAAATAATTTGAATTATGTTATAAAATTATTTTGAACTAAATAACAATTTAAAAAATTATTGAGATTCAATTCAGGGATTAAGATGATTTTGAGAAATTTATTTTGTCTAATTAGAAGGGTGCGAAGTGAGAGAAAATAAAAAATATTAAAAATGTTTAATAGAGAGAACTAAGAAACTTAAAATCAGCCTTTGAATAATTGCATAAATATATTATTATTATATTATTTAATTCCTCAGTGCCATTACTCTCTTGGATTATTTATTGTTTCTTTTTAGGATACCAATCTCATATTGAACCTTGCTGTTGCATTGGAAAATGCCAAAATCAGCTCTTTCCGTTTTGACTTTTCTGGAAGTGGGTAAGTGCGTGTTTGTGTTTTCGTTTGCTTTTCATGTTGCAGTAAATGTTGTTAAATTGTATTAGAATATCAGAATTTTACTATCGAATGATCAGTTAAAAACTGAGAAATAGAGAAAATGGACTTGACCTTCTTTATCTTGATTGCTCTGTTGGAGGATATACATTCTTGGGGGTTCTTATGTTTTCAATGGATAAAATAGGTGCAAGACGATAATGTATGAAAAGCATGTGATTAGAATACTTTAATATTTTTCTATAAATCTATGGATAATTTTGTGTTACTAATTACTGATACCTTGTAAATACCAATGGCATGTGCCACATTATGGATGACTATGATAGTATGATCAATTCAAACAGCGTTGAAGTCATATTGGTCGTCCTCTAATATGATTGCTTTGGAAATGAAGAAACACACATTTTTACATGGAAATGTTGAGAGGATGACAATACAATCCCTAAATATAACTTAAAAATAGTCATTTGGAGGGGGAGGGGGAGGGGGAGGGGGATGATCTAGCAAGTTCCTAAGACATTCCTAGCTATGCTCCAAGTCACATTTAGTTTCACTTGAATATACTCAAGACTCAAGCCACATGCAATTTTTGTTTTCGAGAAATTTGATTAATTGCCCAAACATACCCATCGTGTACTTGTATCTAGAAGGGACCTGGTACAATTTACAAAATAAAGTACCTATGTTTCAAGAGTCTGTACTTAGTTCCCAACATACGATCTCGTTTGCTTGGTGTAAACTGAGTGGTAGTTTCTCCATTCAAACTGCATTACATGTGCTAAAATTCCTGTCATATAGCCTTGCTCCACCTCTCTGTTTTGTCTTAACTTTAGCTGTTGTATTTTCCTTGAAGGGAAAGTGAAGGTTTGTTTCAGTATGGTAACTATTGGGCAGAGGTTGATGATTTACATGCGGTAGTTCTACATTTCCGTGAATCTAACCGTGTAATAAGTGCTATTGTTGGTCATAGTAAAGGTAGGTTGATTTTTTTTTCTCCTTATCTGTAAATATTTCTACCAACAAGAAAAAAAAAGAAGATAGATCTAGATATCATTTTAGGTGTATGATTATCTATGTTATTTATGCAGTCATTCATTGATCATGTTCATTATGCCTAAAAAAATGATGACAACTGTCCTTGTCAAAATGATTTCATGTCAACCACGCTTTGGATGTGTAACAATTCTAAAATTGAGGGAAGAATAAATGATTTGTATTAATAGGACATGGATTAAAGTCTGAATTACAATCAACAGGGAAATGTAAACAGCAGCAAGTTATGTAACAATGAGCTAATAGCTATAGAGAGTCATAAAGCTTCGATTATCAATGGCACAGAGAATCGTTCCTGAAATGGAATTAGAAAGAGAGGACATGTCAGAGAGCAGGCATAGTGAGAATGATCAGAGAGAGAAGATGGTAGAGAGAGAATCATACCCCATACACACATTAAACAACGAAATCCCGCAATTTAACGCTCTCCCTCCTCAAACGTGCGTTTTTGCGCAATTTCTTGTTCTCCGCATCGCGTGCCTCGTGACCATGACTCTTAACTATTTCTCCCCCCATCTTCAAATCATTCTTCGCACGTGTTACAATACTCCCCTCTTTAATAGCAACCTTGTCCTTAAGGTTGAAATTTGGATATAATTGTTGTCTTCAAAGTCTTCCCACGATTTGTCATCCGCACTTAATGAATCCCATTTAACCAATTGTTGCTCAATTTCCTTCCCATTTCTGACAGTTGTTCAGCTAAAATGCTAACTGGTTGTAAAAGTGGTCCAAACTCATTTGTAGTAAGCGATAATGGAAGGTATTGCTGCTTCTGATCTCCATGAATTTTTTTTTAGCAAGGAAATGTGGAAAACTGGGTGTATCTTTGTTGATTCCTGTAGCAGTAATTTGGAAGCAACTTGACCAATCTTCTCAATGACTTCAAATGGACCAAAGTACCTTAAACTTAGTTTATGGTTCTTTCTTCACACTACAAAATGCTGTCTATAAGGTTGTAGCTTGACCAAAGCTAAGTCCCCCACTTCTAATGGCACATCTCTTCTCTTTTTATCTGCTTGATTCTTCATGTAATTCTGAGATTGATGCAGTTTAACCTTCAACTTGTTCAACAAAGCATCACGCGTTTTCAAACTATCCTGTAATGCTGGTGGATCATCTTCATTGTAGTCATACTGGATGAGTGATGGTGGAGGCTTGCCATAAATAGCTTGATAAGGAGACATGCCTATACTATGATGGAATGTAGAATTATACCAATATTAGACCCAAGGAAGCATCTCCAACCAGTTCTTAGGGTGATCAAATACGTAACATCTTAGATACATCTCTAAGATTTTATTGAGATTTTCGGTTTAGCCGTCCGACTGGGGGTGAAAAGCAGAGCTCATAGCCAATTTGGTGCCTTGTGATTTGAACAAATATGTCCAAAAAGAACTGATGAACACCCTGTCGCTGTCAGAAACAATTGACTTAGGAAAACCATACAATTTTACAATGTTCTGGATGAATGCTTCAGCTACAATTTTGCTGTTAAATCCAGGCTTTAATGGAATGAAATGGGCAAATTTGGATAGCCTGTCTATCACCACCATTATATTAGAATAACCATGGGACAAGGGCAAATTTGTTATAAAGTCCATTGCAATTTCTTCCCAAATAAGGTTAGGAATAGGAAGTAGTTGAAGGAGGCCGGCAGGCAAGGATTGACTGACTTTTGCTTGTTGACATATAACACACTCTTTGATAAATTTTCTGATATCTTCCCTCATCTTAGGCCAGTAAAACTGATCTCCAATTCTTGCACTTGTTCTAGTTATACCAGCATGTTCACCCACCTTAGATGCATGAAATTCGGCCAGGATCATGTTGATTAATGTACGATCATTAGGCACCATAATTCTCCCCTTCCTTATAATTACATCTTTGTGCAATGTATATTCTCCAAATTTGCCTGCATTTTTAACGCAATTTTGGTAGATATGTAATAAGGACTCATCTTTTTTGTTGCATCAGCTACCGCTTTTAACCAAGAGTTCAGTGGTTTCGACCATGCCATTGCAAAGCTTCTAGATAGTGCATCTGCAGGTATATTTTCTTTCCCAGGAGAATATTGGATAGTGAAATCATATCCTAGGAACTTGGGCAGCCATTGCTTTTGCTCAGGAGTCTGTGGTGCTTGGTCAAGCAACTCTTTCAAACTTTTTTGGTCCGTTCTAATGATGAACTTGTGGCCAAGTAGATAATGTCTGAATTTGGCTAACGATTCAGTAATGACATAGAATTCTCTTGTGTACGCAGACTGCTTCTGCATTCTAGGAGAAAGTTTCTTAGAAAAATATGCTATTGGATGTTTATGCTGACTTAAAACAACTTCTATCCCCGAACCTGATGCATCTGTTTCCAAAACAAATGGTTCAACAAAGTTAGGAATTGCCAGGAGCAGTAGTTAAAGCTAGTTTTAAAGCTGTAAATGCTTGCTCAGTTGTATCACTCCATTTAAAGGAATCTTTCTTCAATAAATCAGTCAATGGAGCAACCATATTAGCATAATCCTTTACAAAGCGCCTGTAATAGTCAGTCAGTCCAAAAAAACCTCTTAACTGTTTCAGATTTGAAGGTCTAGCCCAGTTCTTTGCAGCTTTTAACTTTTCAACATCCATAGCCACCCCATCACCAGATAATGTGTGACTTAAATAGTTTATTTGTTGGACTCCAAAAGTACATTTTGAAAATTTTGCAAACAGTTGATTATCCTTGAGAATGCGGAGCACAATTTCAAGGTGTTGCAAATAATCCTTCCAATTTATGTTGTACACTAGTATGTCATCAAAAAATACTAGTACAAATCTCCTCAGCAGCCCAGTAAATATCTGATTCATTAGACATTGGAAGGTTGCTGGTGCATTGGACAACCCAAAAGGCATGACCAACCACTCGTACAAACCTTGGTGTGTTCTGAAAGCAGTCTTGTGCCTATCCTCAAGGTTTAACAGTATTTGATAGTAACCAGACCTTATATCCAACTTAGAGAAATAGCAAGCTCCATAAAGCTCATCAATCAGCTCATCTACTGTTGGAATAGGAAAACTATCCTTTATAGTGATTGCATTTAAAGCCCTGTAGTCAGTACATACTCTCCAAGAGTCATCTTTCTTCTTGACCAAGATGATTGGAGAAGAGAAAGGGCTGTTACTCGGTTGAATGGTACCTTCCCTCAACATGCTTTCCACTAGCTTTTCAATTTCTTCCTTCTGGTTATGAGGATACCTGTAGGGTCTGACTTTAACTGGATTTGAGCCTTCTAGCAATGGTATGTGGTGGACATGAGACCTAGGTGGTGGTAGGCCAGAAGGGGTGCTGAATACTGAGCTATACGTGGGCAACAAAAGTGCCAATTCTGGTTCAATGTCATCAAGAAGTTCAAGCAAGGGAAATGGGATGGAGTCCTCTTGAATTATTTGCATGTTGTACACTTCCGCTATGGCATTTATGTTTACCATTTTCCTTATGTGATGTAATTGGGTTGTATCAGGAAGATTGTCATTGTCACCTTGTAATGTAGTGAACTTCCCTTCATGTAAAAACTTGATTTGGAGTGTGTCATAATCTGCCAAATGAGGCCCTATAGTTTTGAGCCAGCTAGCACCAAGTATGAGATCCGCACCCGAAATTGGTAACAAAAATGCAGACAGATTAAATACCTTGCCATGAGCTTGTAGGTTTAAGTCCTGAATCAATCCCTCTGACTCCATGTAATTATCATTGCCCACCATGACTCTGAACATTGGAGCTTGAATAATTGGAAGTTTCAAGAACTTTGCTACCCTCGACTGAAGGAAATTATTTGAGTTCCCTCCATCAATCAACACTGTTATTGAATGGGTGCCTATATAAGCTCTAAATTTGATTGTCCCTACCTCCAAGCCGCCTTTTAAAGCATTCAGTGATAAGTGATGGTCATCCATTGTTGATTGTTCATGTTCTCCTGTATCCTTAGGTGGTTCTTTCTCACTCTCATGTTCCTCCTTGCCAAGTTGCAACACAAAACACTGTCTGTTAGGACATTTGTGGTTGAAAGAAAATTTCTCATTACAGAAGTAGCATAGGCCTTTTTCTCGTCTCAACTGCATTTCAACGAGGCTTATCCACTTAACATTGGGGTTTTTGAGTTGTGGACCAGGTGGTGTGGGTAATAAGGGGGGTAGATTTGATTTAATAGGTGCGAGTAAGGGTTGTTTGGGTGTATTTCTGGGTAATGAGTTGTAGGGAGTGGAATATGATGATGAAATTGTAATTTTGGTGGGGTATGATTTGGGTATATTTGTATATTTTTCTTCATATAATTTGGCCAATGCTACGGCTTTCAACAAATTTAATGGGGTCATGGCCACTACATCCCTTTTAATGTCAACATTTAAGCCACTAATGAAACAGTTTAAAACAGCTTCCTCTGTCAAACTTTCAGATCTATTAGCAAGAGCCATAAATTTTAAGTAGTGATCCGATACTGATCCAGTTTGCTGCAACTTGAAGAGTTCTGCCATTGGACAATCGAATGGTGAAGGTCCAAATTGAGACTCCAAGGCATGGTTTAAAGCTATCCAGGTGGTGACTGCTTCGATCTTCTAATAACATCTGAAACCAGGGTACCACGTCCTTCTCGAAATGCATTGAAGCAATTTCCACACGATCTGAGTCAGGAGTGTTATGATAGTTAAAGAACTTGTCCGCTTTGAAGATCCATTCTAGCACCAGAGTAGAACCATCAAAATGAGGGAAACCCAACGAAATATCCTTTATTATAGGAACAATCTTGCTCGTAGTAACTTTCGTTTGTGATCCTGAGTTCGTTGTACTTCCATTAAGTTGAGAAACATTTTCTAACACTTGCTGTAATGTCACTTAGATCTGGTCCATCTTCTTGTCCTGTGATTTGGATTGAGCTGCTTCGAACTTCTCCATTTTTAGCGACAAACGATGCAGGTCCTCCGCATGGTTTTTGACCTCGTTTTGTAACTCCTTCATACGTGTGTTCTCAGCCATGGAGTCAATGAAAGCACCAATGTAACAATTCTAAAATTGAGGGAAGAATAAACGACTTGTATTAATGGGACATGGATTAAAGTCTGAATTACAATCAATAGAGAAATATAAACAGCAGCAAGTTACGTAACAATGAGCTAATGGCTATAGAGAGTCATAAAACTTTGATTATCAATAGCACAGAGAATCGTCCCTGAATTGGAATTAGAAAGAAAGGAGATGTCAGAGAGTAGGCGTAGTGAGAATAATCAGAGAGAGAAGATGACAGACAGAGATCATACCCCATACACACATTAAACAACGAAATATCGCAATTTAACGCTCTCCGTCCTCAAACGTGCGCTTTTGCGCAATTTCTTGTTCTCCGCATCGCGTGTCACGTGGCCATGACTCTTAACTATTTCTCCCCCATCTTTGAATCATTCTTTGCGCGTGTTACAGGATGTTATTAAGAGAACCTTGAATGATGCAATACGATGATATTTGTGTAACTTTTGATATGAAACCAGACCAGTATTTTAGCTTCATTTAACTGAAGCATAATGCTATCCAAAACTTCTAGCGTTATAATATTCAATAATTCATGTTATATTTCTGAAACCACGCCAAGAACGAACATGGTCAATATCTTTAATTTTAGCAGTTGGTAACTAGTATTACATGAGCAAACAGATCTCTGATAGGTAAGGACTGAGGTTGAGAAAAGGTGTATTCCATTTGGGTGGTTATCACATTTCATTTGTAGTTACTGAAACTATTAATAATGGTTTTCTGTATCTTGGAGCAGGAGGTGACATAGTACTTCTGTATGCTTCAAAATATAGGGACATTAAAACAGTTGTCAACCTCTCTGGGCGTTATGATATGAAGGCGGGCATTGAGGAACGCCTTGGAAAAGATTATTTAGAAAGAATCAGTAAGGACGGTTTCATTGATGTGAAGAAGAGGAGGTCAGGTAACCTTTCATTTCCTCTGGGTTATTCGTAAGTGTCTATTGAAAAAAAAAATAAAAATCTAAGTTTCATATTGACTAGAAATGATGTTGGAATGTGTAAATAAATGAGAGCATCTCACCCTATAAGTTAGTTTGTAGGACAAGGTTAAGTTGAACCAAACTCAAATTCTGAGATACAATTATAGCTTATCTTAGATTAGTGTATATAAAAAGAATAATCCTCACCCTCTAAGTTAGTATTTATGATAGAGTTGAACTCCAATCCAAATCTAAGAATGCCTGAAGATTGTAGTCCAGCACATGGGTTGAGAGATATATATCAATATACTCAGTGTCCATTGATATTTGATGACTTATTGATAGAGTTTGGCCTTCTATTAGACAGGTTTATGTAAAGAGAAGGGAAGTATTATAACTGTTGTAAATTGTAATTGTGACCAAGGAAATCAGTTGACATATCAGAATTGATTTAGGGAGAGGGTCCAGGTTTCTCATATTCTTTTATTCTTGAATAATATAGTTCCTCTTTATTCTTTCATTAATCCTTCTATCTTTCCTTAGCAAATCTCATTCCAGTTTTTAACTATTACTATGAATTTTTCATTCAGTTATACTTGTTAAGAACCAACCCTCCTAAACCCTTAAGCTATTAGGTGGAGGTCCATGGCCCCTTAACTCAAGCGTTTCTGAGTTTGATAACCACCCAAGCAGTTAGCACCCTTCCTTGAAAGCTACATGTCAAGGGGGAGAGACAAGCTACTCAAGTACTTCTCTGGGGCTCCTATATTACTAGATGTGAAACTTAATACGCTACAATAACAAAGTCCCGAACGTGGACGATGAATTTGTTGGGTTTTTCGAAGGGTTATGTGTATATGTATTTCTGATATATCATGTGTGTATGTTTCTATTCATGTACTCTATGTATATATAGAGTAAAAATATTACAAAATATTAAATATTCATAATATCTCAATCATAACAACTCTAAATCGAATAATAACCTAATGTCTTTTTACCTTCTCTCTTAAAAGATAATAAAATCTCTTAATACCTAATTTAAATAAAAGATAATAAAGTAATATTTCCAACATTCCTCCTTACTTTAATATCTATTTATTTGAATTTGATATATTTTTTCCTCCTTTTTTGTTTATACTTCTTGTTATCTTCTTTCTTGTATGAGATCATATCTTCATTCTTCACTTTCTTCATCAACATATTTCTTCCTTTATCAACTTCATCTCCTTTGTTTCTTTCAAACTTCATGGTAGTACTGTTGACTCTTTGATGGACGTTAAAAACGGTTTCTTCATCTACATATTTATTTTCCTCCTTAACATGAAATTCCTTCAAGAAATCTTCTTCATGCTTTTTCTTTGACTTTTCTTTTATATCTTCATTTGTAATCATCTCTTCTTTCATCAAATCTAAAGTGAAACTTTTTCCTTTCATGGGAACTTTGAATATTTCTAAGTTATTTGTATCTTTAATCACACAAAGTTTGTGTTCAAAAGACACCTTATAACTTTTCTCCAATAATTGAGCAACACTTAACAAATTATGATTTATATCAGGAACATATAAAACATCAATAATCAATTTGATACCCGAATGACTTTTAACTGCAATTGTTCCTGTACCTTTCACATTCATTTCTTCTCCATTACCAATTCTCACTTTAGAAATATGTGATTCGTTGAACTCTTTGAAAAATTTTCGATCATGAGTCATGTGGTTTGTACAACCACTGTCTATTAGCCAACCTGTGGATTTTTTTATTGTAGAGCATGTTGATGCAAGGAGAAGTACCTCTTCTTCTCTATCCTCTATAACTTGAACGACTTCCTCTCGGTTATGATTTGCATATCTTTTCTATATGTCCCAATTGACCACATTTGTGACATTTCACATCAGGTCTCCACCAACACTTGTTGGGTGTGTGATTATTTTTCTTGCAATAAGGACAAACAGAAAATACTCGTGATTTTGTACCTTTGTTGTTCTTGGCTTGGACAGAACCTCCATCATGATATAATAAAGAACATTCACTAGCAGCATGATCTCCTCTCATCAATCTTCGTTGCTCTTGTGCTTGTAAAGCATGTAACACTTCTGCCAAAGTAATATTAGACAAATCTTTTGTGTTTTCCAATGAAACAATTGATGCTTCATATCTCTCTGGCACAGTTACCAGAATTTTTTCAACTATTCTAGAATCAAAAAATTTTTTGCCTAACAATTTTATTTTGTTAGCAATACCTAACAATTTGTTTGAGTATTCATTAATTGTTTGAGACTCTTGCATTTTTTGTATCTCAAATTCCCTTATTAAGTTTAGAACTTTCATACCTCGAATTTTCTCATCTCCTTCATATTGATCTTTCAAATAATCCCAAATTTCTTTGGGTGATTTTAGCGTCATGATTCTGGTGAGGATCATTTGTGAAACACCAGCAAACAGACATGATTTAGCTTTTGCCTTTCTCATTTTTCTTTCTCTGTGAGATTTCATTTGAGCTATAGTGGGATTTTCAGGTAGTGGATCAACAATATAATCTTCTTCTACAGCTTCCCATACATCCAATCCTTCAAGATAGGATTGCATTCTCACAGCTCATAAGTCATAACTTTCGCCACCAAAAACTGGAATAGCGACTTGTGAAAAGTTTCTTTCTCCTTCCATTGTGTCAAACCAAAGCTCAGATACCAATTTGTTGGGTTTTTCGAAGGGTTATGTGTATATGTATTTCTGATATATCATGTGTGTATGTTTCTATTCATGTACTCTATGTATATATAGAGTAAAAATATTACAAAATATTAAATATTCATAATATCTCAATCATAACAGACCTAAATCAGAATAATAACCTAATGTCTTTTTACCTTCTCTCTTAAAAGATAATAAAATCTCTTAATACCTAATTTAAATAAAAGATAATAAAGTAATATTTCCAACAGAATTTTCCCATTTATGGGATTTAATTTACTTGATGGTGATCAGACTATTAGTCTATCACTTATTCGAGTAGTAATATGGTCAAATTATTAGTTTAAGCCTACACCCAACGGTTTTATATCTTTTGACAGTATTTAATAGAATTAGCTAGCCAGAACTATTGCATTTTTGTTTTTACTATGAACTATTACTAAAATTTGGACTGAAGGTTCAGCACAAAATTCTAGCTGAAATGCAACTGTCAAAGTTTCACCTGCGACCAACAGCAAGAGAAGGGCTCTGGTCTAACCAAATAGAACATAAACTAGATAGATGAAATGGAGGCTTGTTCATCATTAACTTCTAGTTTAAGCTGCAACATAAACGATCACTTTATGCAATTAATCTAGCTAGGTGAAAGAAGACCGCTTTGTTGTGTGAATACTGTCCTTAGTCAATGAAAGACGAGTGATTGTTAAATTCTTTTGCGGCAAATATTGCTATATGCACTTACTAGATAGGGTAGTATAATACCTTCTTTTGCTACTGTTCTATGATTAGTGATTTGTTTGGATAAACTTCTCCAAGAAGACTCCTAGAAAAAAAAAAAAGTTTCTCCATAAATAAAATTTTGAAGAAGCTATATGAAAATGTTCCGATAAATTAGTTTATGCTTTTCTATAAATTATTTTATGCGTAGGTTAATTTTATCTTATTGTGAAACTTCTATAGGCTTCATGTTTATGATGGATACTGTAGTACATAACATGGCTTTCCTTGTTTCTGTCTGTGTTAGCACAGCGGCTGAATCCACAAACAGGCCAACCGGATACACAAAAACCATTATGACTTAAAGTATATTTTTAGTTGTGTTAGTATAACTCTGTTATTCCCTAAAATGGGCTCTTTCTATAGTCAGAAGACTAAGTCCCATTTGAATAGTTTCTTTTGCTATTTAATGTTGTAATGTCCTTACGGAAGGCATGGATGAAATTATTCAGTTGTTTTCCCTAGTTATTGTATTATTATATAATCATGAGGACATTTAATGTTGCAGGATGTTTTGATTACCGTGTCACTGAGGAAAGTTTGATGGATCGCTTGGGTACAAGTATGCATGAAGCGAGTCTTCAGATTGACAAAGAATGCAGGTGAATAAAAAAGTTGCCTTGTTTCTTCTGCTAAACAACCTTCTGCTTCTTGCTTCATTTCTTTGTTGATCAAGTATGTCTGTTGATGTTACCTGGTATCACCAAAACATATTTCTATATACTATAGCAGAATTGTCTAAGGGACTGGCAAACCTAAATTATTCTTTCATAGAAGAAGTCCAATTTTGTTAAGAATTTTTCTCTAGAACATTTCCATATTTATAAAAAGAATTCCCTTACACTGTAGGAGAAACTTAGTTTTTTGTGTAATGACATTGGGTAGTTACGTTCTAGGAAGGTAGTGCTGCAAGCAGCACCTGTTGTTGAATATTTGAAAATACCCTGATGCATGGGCGTGCTAAATGTCAGATCACATCATATATGACAGGGTGATCATACCAAACCACAAGTTACATGTCATTGAAGGAGCTAATCATATGTTCAGTAATCATCAAGGAGTGTTGTCCTCAGTTGTTGTGAACTTCATAGCAGAAGCCTTGCACCAGGTCGAGGGTATTGCTAGCTAGGTATCTGTTCTTGCTACAATACGATATCAAACATGTGTATTTTTTCTAATCACATATTTGTTGTATATCTTACAGTCTCTAGCCAATTGAGTGTTGGGCCACTAGTTTTTATTCTGCATGCAGGGTCCTTGACTAACCTGGCTTGAGTTTACAATTACAGTAACAACGTTTGAACATAAGATCTCATGTAACTACTCAATCTCTTTTTACTAGGTAAACTCTAATAGGGTTGATGTTCCACTGAGACTCCTGACGTTATGCTTGTGCAATTTGAAATCCTTGTTTCATTAGGTTGAGAAAAATTGGTGGTAGAATGTAAACACATAGGAATCATGTACATTAATGAGAGTGTCTTTAGGGATTATTTTCTTGGTATTATATTTTTATTTATATAAAATAAATTAATTTAAATTCACTTAAATTTTGAGTTTTAACACCTTATCAACTAAGTTGTAGTTTTTCTTCAATTTTGAAACTTTTAACTCTTAAATAGAATATTTTTATATATGAAAAGGTTATCTTCTTTACTTTATTTATGTTTGTAAAAGTTTTACTTAAATTTAAAAGTATCCGTGAAACATAATAGAAAATTGTTAGTGAAGTAATCCGAATAGTAATATTGGTTAGGCATCTTGTGTTCACATGTTATTAAAATATCTATCTAGCATGAAATTTTGTATGAAAAGCTCTTTGAACTAACAACAATTATTTGTAATCAATGACTCCATATTAAATTTTGCCAGACTTTTCTTAATTAGCTTCACTTTAAGAGTTTTGAAATATTAATTTAAAATAAAGATGTGTCGTATTGTTTCCATACATGATAAGAAAAATATAATCATTGATACAAAAGTCTATACATTTAGAAAGAGATAAAAATAAATAAATAGAGGATAGAAGATAAAAAATTGATAAGTGAGAAAGAAATATATAGATATTTCGTAGGTATCAAGTGAATGTTCACTAGTAGCTTATGGTATGTTATTTTAGATAACAATACATTGTATAAATAAAAGTTAATTAAAAGTTTCTCTACTGAAAGTAGAGTGTTTTGAATAAATAAAAAAAAATCCCAATTCTCCTTCTGACTTTGCATTCAAATAACACAAAATTTGCATTTTAATTTTATTGTAAAAATATTTCTTTAGCAACAATGACATAGTATAAGTTTTATCAAGCAAAGAAAATAAAGAAATTAAGAAAAAAATTATTTATTGATGGTTTGTGGGACTTGTACAAATAAAACATATAGTATATAATACAAACAGATTTCGAAACTCTGGTCAGTATAAGAGTGAAATGAATAAAAAAGAAAATGAAGTTAGATTCAAACCTCCTGAACAAGTTATCCTAACTGTAAGGTCAATCTCTCAATCATGTGGGTATATTATATATATATCTTATCTCTTCACAAACAAGATATCCTAATTGATGTAAGGACAAATATATGTTGTCATTTCAAGAATTATCTTGCATAAGGATTTGAGGATAGTCATTTTTATGACAATGGGTGGAGGAAGCATTATTAATAGAGCTTCAAACTATAAAAACTTTTCCCCAAATTTTGTATAATTATTAATTAATATAATGATGGTAAAACCATTAATTTATTCTTTGTGAAATTAGTAATTAATATAATTATTTAAAAGTTAATTAGTATATTTACTATTTTAACCAAAGACTATGATTTAATAGTGAATTGGAAAACAGTGAGGAAGTGTTCCTATTCTAGAAGGTGGAAAAAGAAGAGAGGTGCATTTATCTTATCAATTGGTATATGCTCTGCATATGTCTTCTTTTTCACTGATGTCTGAGGTTGCAAATGATACATGTTTTGGGCCTAGCAAGAGCTTTAATCTCATCATGTCTATCTTAGGTTGCCTAATCATATTTCCTGCACTTTTGAAATGGCTTAGGATTATCCTTGGTATAGATTTGAATCCAAACCATTCTTAGTAATTGAAGTGTAAATTATTTGGTACAGTTCCTTTTCTTTTGGATAATTGATAGCACTCGTGGTGTGACACTAAAAAGGTAGGGTTGATGTGAATACAGTGGATGTAGGTGGGGCACAAATACAAAAGGGTCTCATAATAATTGTTTTTGAATATGTATCCATTTGTTGTTACTTTTTTAGGTTGAGTGTTCATATTCCATTGGATTGAAAATGGATTCGGTTTTCAATTGAGTGTGGTACTACTGTTTCATACCAAAATGAGTACTGTAATGTGTTGGATATTCTCTCTTGGTGCTTGGATCTCCGAATTAACCTCAAGTTGGGTACATTCATATAGTGCAGGTCCTATGATTAGTTTATGAAAATAGAGAAATCAATGTTCATGGTTGGTGCTCACCACATGTTTGTGAATATGTTGCAGAAGGTGATGCAAATTTTGTAAGGTTAGTTGCCTCCATTTTAATCTTAGGGTTAATTTAATTGCAATGGCTTGTTAACCTCTGTCTAAATAAAAATTATTTGTATTGGTAAATTATTTCTTAAAATTCTTATTACTACATTTATTTATTTTATCTAAGTAGAACTATTAAACTTTTCAATTTCACAAATAATATAATTATTTCTGTGATCGTTATAATTGATTATATTGTTAATATATATTTTATTAATTTTGAAAGTTATAATTAATAATTATAGGATTTTTTTCTAAATAAAAATAAATATAATTATTAATAATTAAGTAAAATATTGTTTAGTCATTTCTTTTCAAATAGTTATTTTTTTCACTGATTTTTATTTTTTCTAAATTATTTTTTTCCCAATATTTATTTTCCTCGGTCAAACAAACCATTACAAAGACCTACTATTAATAGGGAGAGTTTAATAAATTATTATTATTATTATTTAGATTAAATATTTAATTCAGACAAATTGTTAACTCATTTAAAAAGTGAGAATATTTGTACTCATTCAATTAGACATTATTATTATTATTATTATTATTATTATTATTATAAATTATTATTATTATAATTTTTCTCTCATGCAAGCAAATCAAATTTTATATTTATCTATATATTTTATTTTATAAAAATTTTAATTATCTCTTCTCTTTTAATCTATCTTCTCTTTTTCTCTATTGCTAAACTGAACTATAATTATTTTCTGAAAGAAATTATCATAATTAAAAATACTTTTTATCATAATTTAAACTATTCATTGTAAATTTTAAATATAATTTGTATATTAAAAAATATTTATTTATAATTTTAAAGATGATTTGATTTTTATATATTTTTTAATTAATAAAAATAAATATTTAATCGTCATAAAAATTCTAGCTTTCGCAATATTTTTAATTTTCAACTTGCAACTTTTTCAAACATTGCAACTGAGTTTTCTATATCAAACATGATAATCTAACATTAATTTTCCTTTTATTTATTTTATAACTCTCTTCTTTTTTTATTTATAAAATATTTTGTTGTGATTTTTTTTTAATTTCCAACTGACAATAATGGTTTTAAATATTAATATCTCCACCATTAACTATAAAGTAACTATTTTAATAATATCCTTCCTGTAATTTTCATAATCAAACTTTCACATCTAAACTCAAATTTCAAACGAGTTTAAGAAATATCATCAAGCTAGAAGAAAAAAAGTGATTAGGGTTGTTTAAGTTTGACTTATTTTGAGTTTTGCAAGTCTTCCATTATTGACATATATTTTATGTGGTGTTCATCTGTCACCTACCCTTAAAAAATAGGTCATTGCATGTTTGACCCATTTCATCCAACACCATCACCATTTTATCTTCTCTTCGTGATATTATCTTTCTCGAGCATAACAAAACAAACACAAAAGTTAGATAACCAAAGTTGAATAATTTATGCTTCACCCTTCCAAATAAAGGGATATGGATTTGATTTGAAAGTTGTGCACAGCATAAAAAAAAAATCAAACATTTCAAATATGTGATCAAGGTTCATTCTTCACATATTTATCTCACTTTTTTTACTTGTTTTTCATTTAATAAAAAACAATCACTTTCCACTCATTTGAAACGATGTTTACAAGTCATAAAATCTTGAAACAATAGACACTTATTTTATGATGTTAATACATATTAGAGAACTTCTAATGTGAAACCAAGGATTCGCAAGTTGGTTGATTTGGTTTTAAGAGAAAAACAAAAACTTATATTGAATGAAATAGATTAGTTTTGTTTGATTGGTTTTAGTTTATGTCAATTTTGTTTTTTATAAATAGAATATATTTTGGTTTATTGTTTTGTATATCCATTTTTTTTTTTACCAAAGAACTTTGCATATAAAAGAAGTGGTTTCGGTGACATACTAAATTCTCAATCATATTCATATCTAGTTTTTTTTTTTTTTCTAATAAAGATGATTGGATTTTATTGATTAGTTGAAATTAAACCAAAAATATATAAATGAATATAAAAATACTAATGAAAATTTTTAGTACGTTGATATATGAAATATATCTCATATTAGTATATATTTTATTATGTATTATATAATAAAAATATGATAAAATATCAAATAATAATAATAATATCTCAATCATAACCACTTAAATTAAAATAATAATTTAATATCTTTTCATTTTTTCTTTTAAAAGATAATAAAAAAAATTAATACCTAATTTAAATATAAAATAATAAAATAATATTTCAAATGAATATCAACTTGAGATGAATTTTATTTAATTTTCCAATTCCTCACAACTATCTAAACTACTCCACATATTTTAGATGTATAATTAGTTGAATTATTTTAACCAAAATATATAAATGAATATAAAAGTATAAACTTAAATGGATTTATTTTTTTCTTAATTCCTCGTAATGATGGAACCCAATTCGCGCACTAAGATAATTTAAATTGTCAGTAATTCATTATTATGATCATAATTTTGATTTTAACGATCAAACATAAACATAATTTCATACTCATAAACATGTTGTAAATTAAATGCGAAAGCGTACCTGAATTAGCCATAATGATGATATCCTTGTAGAGCACTATATTGATCTTATGGTCTTCCACCTGGAGAACACCTGTATTTCCCGCTGGATTTTCTCTCTTGATGGGGATAGAAATAAAAGAACGGGACTGAAACTTACATTCTGTGTGTGCTCTTAGAAGGAGATCATGACCCTTTAAATAACCAGAATTATGTTAATTACTTAAGTTTTAGTATTTCTAATTTGATCCCTCATCAAATTAGAAATTGTTCTATGGTCTCTACACAATTTTTATTTTTATGACATATGCTTTTAACCAAAACTTTGATTTAGTCAGATTACTTTATTATTTGGCTTAATAAATAATGATCCTAATACATTTAAATTATGTATTATATATACATGAACAAACATTTGTCAAACATAAATATGGAATTATAACATATTCATATCATACAAATTGATTAAAGAAAAAATTAGAATGTGTATATCTAAGAAGATATTTTGTAGTTTATGTGTTCACAATCTTTGTCTAACCTTAGAAAAAAATAAATCCAATTCCATAATTATTTTCTCGATTGAATAACATGAATAAAGGAATGAGAGAGATAATATTGAGTAAAGACATCTTACAATATACACAAAAATTCTCTCTTGATGATTACGATCTTCAATATTTTAATATCGTATCTTAAAAGTTATTGTAAGATAAAGAAAAAAATTATTAGATGTTGATACCTTTACGTATTCTTACGTATATTAAGCAAGATAATGTATGAACTAATAAATTAGTTAATCATAGTCTTAAATATAAAAATAATTTTGCTTAGTGGAGAAATATTCTAATTTTTAATGGATATATTTTTTTTAATTATACACTTGAATATTGTATTCAATTTTTTTATATAATATTTAATAAAGAATTAACTTAATCGAAATATATAATTTTTATACATTCAATTTTATTAAAAAAGAAAAAAATCACACAAATATAAGAGAACATTTTATAACTATGAAATGTGAAGTAAAACTCCTTATTTGAGTGTTATCGCGCATCATTTGAAACATTAATTTAAACACTAGAAACTTTATTTTTCATAATTAGCTTAACTCGTTTGGACAAGATTCTACTTTTATTTTTGCTTTTCTTTTTACTACTACTTATGCCCTTTGAGTGTGGTTGTCGAAGACACTCACTTATAATGATGCTCCCAAGCATCTAATAATTATGTTAGGTTATGTCTATTAACCTATTAAGAGAAGATAGGTTCGTGATCATAGCCAAAAGCAAAAGGAATAATCATCCAAAGCAAATCAATCAAACTTAAACAAAACCCCGAAGTTAATCACTTTCAATTAAACTAATTAATACGAATTAAACTAATATGAAGATGTTTGGAAGTGGAAAACAATGGGTAACAAAGTGATTCAGCGGCAAACTTTAAGAGGATTTCCGGAAAGCGACAAAGAACTTGAGATTTGGTTATGATTACATGGAATCATGATTTAGTTAATGAAAAAAATGTTACATTAATTATCATTCTTGTGAAATAAAATCTATGATTAACACACACATATGATTAATTTCGTAGTATCACTGTGTGAATGTTGGGATTTGGTGTCCTAGATTTTGCACAACAATTAGACATGGATCTAAAAAGCATTTAGCAAGAAAAGTCAACAAAATGATGAAGCTACTAGCTTTTTGTGTCTCCTTGTTGGAATTAAGTGTTGCATGGCCTCGTTTGGTTACAATTATGAATTAGGTTAATTAATTAAGCTAACTTAGGTCTCAAAATGTGGCCGCAAAGCACGTTATTAACGCAAAAGTAAAGGGAAAGTTTCACTTTATGGGGCAAAGATCGTAGTGACTTTATTATGGAATCTTGTTTAGTTAATTAACAATTAGGTATTAGCAAGATACTCAACCCTCTTATTTTGCTTTAATTTAAATTAACATTAATTATTTTGTTAGAACAAGAACTTGTTGCTTAATACTTTGTCTCAACAAAAGTACTCGTGGGTCTGTCTCATACCCCAAAAGCAAAAAGTTATTCCTATTCGATCCAACGTGATTTTTTTTTTTTTATTGTTTCCTAAATATTCCAACACACTTAAGATATTCCTATTTGTCATGTGAAATGTTGGTTTTTTATTGGTGCCATTTACGTTGTACTAATTATACCAAACATGTTGTGAACCCCTTTTTTCGGAAAATATACGCGAAGTTAGAATAAATCCATTAGGGCACACTAGGAGGAATAAATCCTAAAATGTAAAGGTGTTAGGTTTTGATTGTGGGGCATTTTATACCTCCCAAACTTTAAGAATTGGGCAACGAATAGATGCAAAAACATTTATCCGAAATGGCCAAATTAAGATTAGGGCATTTAAACAAGGCTAATAATCTGTGCTCATATTTAGGACATGCATAGGGATGGCAAAACGGGCCAGCTCGCCCCGTTTTGGCTCGCCCCGCCTTCGGTCTGCTAAAAGCGGGGCGGGGCGGGCTAACCCGATATAGTCTTGACAGGTTGTAGACCTTGGCCCGCCCGCTAAAGAGCGGGTTGACGGCTGATCCGCCATAATTTAGAAAAAAATAATTTTTCTTAAATAAATTTTTTTAATAAATTTAATAATAAAATTATTATTTGTTTGTCAATAATTCAATATATATATATATATATATATATATATATTATTTCAATTTAATAATATAAATCAATACATTATTTTAAGAAATTATAATTTAGAACAATAATAAAATTTACATAATAATAAATAATAACAAATATATATATATATATATATATATATATATATATATAAATAACGTTAAACTTATAAAATTTATATTTTTTATATTGAAAAATTTAAATACATATATCTTTTTTATTTGATAAAACTTCATGTTATTCTTGGTTGAGTAATTCTTACACCTTTAATTCAAGTAATAAGGATAAAAATAATCGAGTACTTAGGATAAACAAGGAGAACAGGAGAGAAGGTTATGTTTCGGGAAGGAGAAAATTTTATGTGAGAATAAAACTTTTTTAATTCTCTTTTAAAATTTTTAACTTTATATATTATCTTTATAATTAATTTTATTACAATAAAAAATTATTTTTTTATTAATTAGGCGGGCAGCGGTCGACCCGCCTCGTTCAGCGGATTGGCCCGATGGGTTGACAGGCTTGGCGGGATGGGTCAAAGCGGACTGGTGGGCTGAAAACACCAACCAGTCCCGCCATATTATGGCGGACCGGCCCGCCGGGCCTAGCCCGTTTTGCCATCCTAAACATGCAAGTCCTTTAAACAATGATGCCATGCATGATGCATAATTTTAGAGATGATATATACGTTACATTTTGAAAAGTGGAAGAATGGTTTGAACTTGTATAGTTTAAGGGACATACTACCAAAACCTTTTCCAATATTGTTGTTTTACGTTAAAAGGAATTTTCCTACGGATTCGAAAAGGATGAAACATGATTGGGTTGACGTGTAGAGTAGAGTAAGAATAGTTGATTGTTTAGAAGAGAAATTAAGGAGTAATGAGTTGGTTTGTGGTAAAAAGCAGCGTAATCTTTTGATGATATATAATTAAGAGGAAGGATATTGCAATGGAGATTATAGTATTTGAAGGCATTTGGCTTTATCACATCTATCTAGCAACCTACGATCATTTATTATTCTGCCATACAGCTAGGACCTCAATTTAGACACAATCATGCTGTTCCCTCCTAAACCTAGGATCTCAATTATTGCTAGCCTGGATTACAACGTGATCAAAATCCACCCTCGCTCCCTCTCTCGATTACATATTATTCAATTTTTTATTTTGTATTCGGATGCTTTTATTATACAGAACAATCACAATTTGGTTATCCTTTGAGTTAAACGGTTCCGTTTTTTCACCCCTTTATTACTTTTTGACAGTTGATTGAAAGCTTAAAGCAGTTGTAATTAGAATGTTGATGATAGATCTGTATTTGATTTGATCCGACATGAAATGAAATATGTAAAGTGATGATAGAGAAATGAGGGAAAGGAGGAAGAGAGAGAGGAGGAAAGGTACAGCTAGCTGTGTGCATCTTTCATACATGATTTTGTCAACCTAACGTATCTAAAGTATGTGTAACCTGATCTACATATATGCCAAAGTCATGCAGCTTTTAACCCCACCCTCTTAACAAAAACAAGTACAAACCCTATCATCTCAACTCTGGGTCCTATGTGTACACTTGTGCTCAGCCAGCTAGCTAATTGAGGTAGTCCCACCATATGTGTAACCTTTTCTTTATTTTGGGGGAAAATATTTTTAGAAAACCTAGTTTAATTGTTAAAGATTCTTTGTCCAGGTGATAGAATCATTCTTGGATCAAACTGCTGTTTTCTTTCTGCAAAAGTCCTCCACTTAGGGCCAAAATGCTTTGTCCAATCTTCTTGTGTGCGATAGTGGGGAAGATATTGCTTAACCTTCATCCCACCATCAATACAAAATTGTAAAATTTCTTTATTTTGAGCATCATAGGCCTTCCAATTATCAAACCCACTTGAATGCAAAAATCCAACTGTGTAGAAGATATCCTCGTCTGGTATTGATGCTGACATCCTATTGTCCCACCTGAAATTTTAGTTTTACAATTTCATGTGAGTAAAGAGAAGAAATGTTCATGGAATAATAACGGCTATTCTTCTTAATTGGTACGAATGGTAGCTTGTTTGTGAAAAATGTCATCAATGACTTTTCAAACATTCGAAAAGGAAAGGGAAGGAAGAGTTATTTTAGGAAACAGGGTTTTCGTACCAATAATTAACATTTTGCTAACAATAAATCGAGATTAATTAGTTCAGCTCAATTACTTGTTTCTGTTCATGGGGTAAACCAAGACAGGTCCTGTGGTGATGTTTCGTTTAAGAATGATGTTCTTGAAAACTCCCGAGTCAAAATCCATGATCTGAGATTTTGGTATAAACAAGTTAAGCCACGGGTGAGGAACATCCCAAAGACCCTGTGACTGTAGCTTCAACTCTCCACTTCGGACTCTATTCAAGAAATCAACATACGAGACATCTTTTTCATAGTAAAATCCGGGGATGTAGTTCAATCCTTGGAGTAAAACTTGGAGTTCCTACAGAAACATGAAGATATTAAAAGAATGGAACTTACAACATTAAAAATATAACATGTGACAAAGGGTTGTTAGAAGGGAAAAGAAACATAAAAGGACACATCATCACGGCAATTGCACATGAGTAGAAATGTACCTTGTCTACATTGTTTTCACTTTGGCCATCATAATATTTGGCAACTTCTAGGCAATAGAGGACGCTGTGTTCAGTTACTAGTGAAATTATTCGACCATGGTCGGCTAAAGGGAAGAAAGAAGATCTCCAATTATTTATGGGTCCTTGGTGCATTAGCAGCGACCCTTCCACATAATCCAGTGCAATATTTTGTTTCCTTCCAGAGATTGAGATTAACTGTTCTTGGTCTTTGGTAAAAGCAGAAAAGTCATTGTACAAAAGTCTAACCCATTTAACCTGCCAAAAAAATTCCACCCTTAGTTCACACCATCAACTCATTATTTCGTACTAACGAAAAACAATAATGACCACATGATTATAGCTTCTGCAATGAGTCCAATCAAGTGGTACTGCTATTTGAATCATCTCACTCACCAACTTTCTTATATATCCTTTCCAGTGGAAACATATGGACCTATATGCTTGGTAGTATTTTCAAATACCGTTCTTAATTAGTTGATTTTTGATAAACAAATTAATTAGAGTTTGGATCGTTGACGAGAGAGGATAATACAAACCTAATTATTGGTTGGCTTAAGGTCTCACAAAAGTGTCACTGTATGTTCCAAAAGACTTTGCATTATGATATATATATTTTTCCAACACACATTTTAATGGTTTTTTGAAGAATCCACGTTGTTCACCTGTAACTCGTCTCGTTTTCGTTGGCATATGATGACTATTGTCCTCTAACATAATGTGAAACGTATGTATGTGTATGAGGTGCCAAGAAAAATGATGACATGAGGCTTTAGGACAAGGACATTTGATGCTTCTGTAAAGCTTGATGGTTGAATAATGCGACATGTAGAATTGGCGTTACTATATGAAAATGTTGGAGGAAGAAGCTACAAGACAAAGTCCTAGTCAATTCTGAAGATTTAAACGTACCCTCTTTGGAGCTGGCGCAAGAGCAATTCTTGCTCTTGTTATAATTCCAAATTGTCCTAAACCTCCAAGAACCGCGTGAAACAACTCAGAATTCGTCTCAGAAGAGCAGGTCACAAATTCTCCCTTTCCTGAACCATACCACAACTTGATTAAAACACAGATAATATATATAATTGCATGCATGCACATATTCTTTAACAAACATTTGAGCAAATCAAAATTCAGCTGCTAGTTTATTTTAATAAAACAATTGACCAAAACACGACTTGGACCAACACTACATGTACATGTTTTAAAAAAAACCAAGAATATGAAGAAGGCCATAACTGATTGTACGTGTGAACTGAATCCATGGTTAAGAATTTTTCAAACATGGGACCAGGTGGAAAGCGCTTGCTAACATTCACCAAAATTGTAGACAAAGACTCGTTAATCAACCACTAATCCGGTGTTACGTTAAAAATATAAAACGAAATCAAGTTTGCGAAAATCCTAATCCTACTAAAAACCAAAGAATAAGTTTAAAAAAGCAAGAGTTTTATAAGGTTCAATCGCAATCACAGTCTGATGCTGTCACAGTACTTCTCAATTTCTTTACTTTAAAATATGAGCAAACGCCACTATACCCGAAGTTGCAATGAAGTTCTGAAAAATTCACGACCACGGCACGTTTGTTGCCTCAATTAGAGTCGTGAATGTCAACAAATCTTTTCACTAACCATTATTTTATTCCCTTTCCCCTCCCAATCTCCCTCTCTCCTTCCTTTCCAAGCTGTGACACTTTCCAAGGTGTCCAAAGACTAATTCTCAATATATTAAAACCCTGATTATGTAAATTCAGATGGTTGTTATATCACCTTTACAAACACTGTCCCAATAAACAAAATTTAGATACAAACTTAACTTTATGTTCTATTCGGGTCATTTTCTTATCAGAATTTAAGTTTTATCTTAAGACAGGAAACTTTAATTCTGATTGAAAAATGATACAAACAACAGTTAAAGATACTGTATCTAGGTTAGTTTGAAAGGAGAGGTACTGTAGTACTAAATTTCTTGAGATATGTTATTGTTGTTGTTAGGGTATAGTGAGTGAACAGTGAGTAGTGAGGAGAAATGAAAGTGTGGTACCAGTGATGACATCCATTTCACGAACAGTGGAGATTTGAGGACCATAGCGGAAGGTTTGGCCACTGATGCCAGCATTGGAGAGAGTCCCTCCCACTGTCAAGTACAAATAATCAGTCCAAGAGAGAGGTGCAAGTCCATGCTCGAGCGTGGCGTGAAGCACATCGATCCAAAGTTGTTCTCCTCCAACATCAGCGTAGTGAAAGTAACCAACAGAAGGGTCCACCATCTTGCCCACCCTTATTCCCACCCCACCCCCCCTCTCTCTGAACCCTGCCATGTCCACCACCACGCCGCCACGTGCCATAGCCTGCCCGCGCGTGGAGTGCCCTTGCCCCCTCGCCGCCACCTTGAAGGGGACAGCCCCCTTATACGACGCCTTGATCAGCCGCGCGATGTCCTGGGCCGACGCCGGGTGGAAGACTGCCAATGGGACTTCGCGAGCTATGTTGCCGTAGTCCTTCGAAGCTCTTCCTTGAAGAGCTTCCACGTCTCCGCGGAGCTTGTTAAAGACGTCTTCGTCTACAGCAGCAAGCTCTGCAGGCAAGACGGCCTTCCATTGGGAGGTTTTTCCTACTGTGGAGATCAAACGCGTGATGGTTATGAGTAGGAGGATGAAGTATGTGGGGGAAGGGTGCTTCTCAGCTACCATTTTTTTTTTGGTTTGGAGGGAATGAATGAGAATGGGAGAAGAGAGGAGAGGATGAGAGAGTGGTTTGTTGTTTTAGGGTGGATGGAATGATTTGGTTGTTGGTGTGTGTTGTAGTGGGGAAAGGAGGTGGAGGATGTAGGGGCTATATATAGAATACAATGGAAGAGGACTTTGCATGATAAAGCAGGATATGGGAAAATATTTAATTTGAGAATTTCATGTAGAGATAGAGAGGGAATGGGGTGGGTTAATTACAAGAGGATCGTTGGAAAATTCTCATTTAATTGATTTTTCAAATGAAAAATTATCATTTGATACCCTTTAAACGTGATAAATATTACGAAAAATACAACAACAAAAAAATAAGGTGAAAAAAATTTGAGATTATTTTATTTTACATACTAAAAAGCACATGTCTTCATACTCGATGAAGGAAAAATTTAAATATTAGATAATAATAGTTTACACATATTTTGAATTACTTTCACAATATCGTTATGGAAGAGAAATTGTAAATTGCAAAAACAAAATTTTTACATTGCGTGCAAATTTATGGGAGGGATACTACTAAATGTCAAATTCAAAGATACGATGGAGAGATTGTATTTGACCCTCCTTCTGAAACTCATGAAGCATTTGTGTAAAGCAATTAAATTGAGCAGCTAGGAAATAAAAATAAACTCAACAAAGCAATTAATGAAGTGTTAGGGGTACTTCCTTTATTTGATTGTGTTGGTGTCATCATCATACATAATCACCAAGATTCCCAGCAATAGAGAACCCGCAAGCTTCATCCATTGTTGGCCATGACATATATAGCAAGAGAAATAAATGAATAAATAAATAATGCAATTGATTTGAGCCGTTGGATTCTCATCTTAGGGTCAAAGATTGGTCAATTTTGGTCAACTCAAAAACAGTTTATATTTTATATTACCATAAAATTTGAAGTTTTTAATTTTGAGAATTTAAGAAGAGAGAGAGTCATAATCAGGTAATTATCAAAAGGATCTCTGAAGATTTTGTTTCTGGGGACCATAGGACTTCCACTGGATCAAACTATGATGCATTAAACTTTTCTAATTCATGGAAGGGTAATGTCAATGGGAACTGAGGGAGACATCACACCAGATTTTCTTGGGGCCAAGATTTAGTTCAAGAGCATGATCTATTCCAACATAAAGAAAATGAAAGCTAACCATAGCACAAGAATGTGCCTCCTTCAGAATAGATCAGCCATATGAATGACTACATGACATGATTTTCTTCCCCCCCAGTTTCAACATGTTCTTAGCCAAACATAATAAAGGTGATCGATACCATGCCATTTTTAAACAATTAATTAGTAATGGTTACTGATTGAACTACACCTAATTCGTTTGCCAATTGTTTGCAAAGTCTACATAAAAAAATGCAAAGCACCTGGCATGCCTTTGATCAGAATATAGGAAGAAAACAATGGCATGCTATGCACACGCAAGAGAATCCAGTGAACTGGTTAATAATAATTTAATTTGGCTATACCTAGCTTTCAGGGCTTCTTCTAGTTGGTGATATTTATATGTATATATACATGTCACAATTATTTGAACTGTATAAAATATATATGTACCCAATTGTTCTTTTAGTGGGGTTCTGGCTAACTCAGCTAAATACCCAAATGCAAATAAATGTGAAATTGCTGGTCCTAGACAAGGACATTGATTGGGAGGGAAAAAATTAATTAGGGTAACAACAAAGGGTATTCAAAGAACAATCTTTGACCAATAGATCTCGCTGGTAGGAGGAGCTATCATATTCCAATACCCTCCACCAAGCATGGTTCTGTTGATTAATTGTAAAATCTTTGACGATACATGGTTTTCATGCATGACTAATAAATGCAGAAAATAAAAAAGAAGAATAGTTCTGTGCAATTTATCTTGGAGACTCTAAAATTAATCCATGACTTGATGAACGCAATTATGCATACCTTGCCACATGTTCAAACAGCGATGGTTAGGTCATGTACCTAACGAAACGAGTATGTATCTCCTTATCTCTTCAAAAGAAGGAGGGGAAAAAATAATGGCACCAAGAGGAAAAGGGTTTCTCTTTGTAAAGTAAATTTTGTTGTCCTCAACATATATACCATAACATTATTCCATACCCTTGTTGCGTAGGACCACCTACGTGTCTCGGAAATGTTTGGTGAAATTCAAATTCAACTTGAATAGAATAGAGATGTAATATGTTGCCACCACCAGTGACTGAGATTGAATATTCCACACTTTTTTCTTGTGTATTATCATAAGCATTACACTACACATGCAACCCAATATTCCGATCAATCCCTATAATGGCACTAGTAAAGCCATAATCATACTTACACTTTAGGGAATAACTCCCAATTCCTGTTTCAAATGTTTATATAACAATCTGACATATGTTATTATTATTTATGATAGAAGAAAAAAAAAATCCCCATAATTCATATCCGAAAATCATACTATTTGACACAATAATTCCTTAAAAAGACTACCATTTTGTATCAGCCAGAAAGGTTCAAAAACAAGTTAAAACCTAACAAAAAAACCATTAATAATTCCTTAAAAAGACTGATATCGCTCATAAAATGGGGATTTAATACTTTTAAGCATTGATAATTGGTCTACTGTGAAATTTCTCAATTTCTGAGATACATTATTAGACAATGTCTCATGAATAATAACAATAACAATAACATGGGATAATGAAACACTATGGTTCTTTTATCTTGACATGTTTGTACATATAAAATAAAAGGGTAAAAAACCAGAAATAATTATGTGTGAATCTGTATATATATATATATATATATATATATATATAAATAAAAGTGTTTATGGTTAAATGAATTTGCCAGTAGTTTGGCATGCATGAATGTGAGAGTAAATGGAAGAAAGAGAGAGAAAGAAGGTTGTGGGGGGACTGTTTCTAAGATATTGGAGATCTTTATGGGGATCCAAGCCAGGCAGAACACAGAAACAATGAGATCACGTGGTCCAAGAAACAAACAAAAACAACAACAGCGGAAGCAGCTTTTCCAATCCACAGTGCTAAAAACGCCATCGTATCCATGTCACTTTGATTGGCGGATAGTGCTATAAGCAATATAGATCCGTACGTGCATGGAATTTGAGGAAGTACTATGTGACAGAGAGCATAGATGTCTCCTATCTCTGCATTTTCATCCCATCATCACCTTCTTCTTCTTGTTCTTCTTGTTGCTTCATCTCATCAACAACAACAACTACAACGTTCACACATTTCACTCTACATTATGTTTAGTTGCATGTATGTTCAGGTGTTCAGTGACATTGTAACAAGGAATCATCCAAATCCCTTGAACCAACCAGACACTCCAACCCCAGTTGTTATCTTTCGATGCTCATTTTGTAAGTTAAGTGGCAATGTCATGAAGGGCATATTTTGTCGCTATATATAGACCACTATGTCTCATTTGTCACTCTTATCCCATTAATTTGATTGATGCGTGCTGTCTCAATTATAAAATGATTGACATTTCATCAGTCAATTGACGATCGTTTGTGCAATTCTCATCACTGTGTTTCTGTTAAATCATGCTCCCGTTAAAGACAACCCCTCCATTTCGATTCACACTATCCACTTTATTAGCAATACCATCTTATTAGCTTAAATATTATTTTTTTTTGTATTTTTTTAATTTCAAGTAAATTAATGTTATCTTTTTATCACATTGTTAATACATATATTAATAATAATTCTCTACTTTATAGTGAGACTATGAAAAAAAATGAAATAGATTAAAATTAGGGTATAGTTCATTAAACATTTTCCATTACAATAGTATTTGTTTTAATACCACTTGTATATATAGATGAGACAATAATATTTGTTCCATTACAATATTCTTATTTTTTTTTTCTTCTTAGTCTCATATCTGCCTCGTGTTCATACGACTAACAGAAACTTTGAAACGATCTACTATTCTCACTAGTGTGTCTCGTGACTTTTTCTTTTATGTATCTAAATATTTGTTTAATAATTACTTGGGAAGAAGCACTTTTACCTAAAGTTTTCGTCTATTCTATATCGTATACTTGTATGATGGTGTTACTAATACGAATCATCTATTCTAATAATTATTAAAAACAATGTTAAAAATATTTATGAAATTCTAATAATATGAAACTCAAACGTTTTAATAATTCTCTTTTCTCATGTATGTTACATGAATCTACTATTAAAGTGAGTTGTTGGAACTATGCATGAATGTGAACCAAAGGGTTGTGGATGGAAACTAGCACACGATGATTGTTGAAGAGAAGTTTTGATAATATACGAAAAAAGTGTGAGCATTTATTTGTAGAATTGTGTGGCGTGGCGTGGCGTTTGATTTAACGGGCACTACCAAACGGGGATAAATAGGGTTCCCACCTGCCACACCAGCAGGAACAAGGAACTGCTCAAATTTTCCAAGTTTTCGTCTTCATATTCACTCTACTGTATTTGTTCTTTTATATATATGTGTCAAATCCTAACTACTGTTTTCAAAAATAAAAACTGGATATTTGCTCAACTAAATATATTGAAAATGTGAAATCATTTAACATGAAAACATAAATAAAATTGATGTAATTAAACATTATTTTTTGTATTTAAAATTTTATTTTATTGCAAGTTTTTTTTTATATTTGTATTCTTGTAATTTTTATTTATAGATTTAGTTTATGTTGTTTAGTATCAATTATTTTTATTTTCTTGTATTATGTGTTCTATTAATAATCTTATATACTGCCTTGAAATATTTTCAATTAAGTTTAAAATAAAGACAAGACATTTAAGTAAACGTCATGTCTTGTTTATATAAAATTAATCCAATTAAAAACTTAACCCAAATTGAATAACTATTATAAAAAAATTATAATAAAATCGAAACTAACATTTAAGTTAAGCTGATAAAAATAAGCTTGTTTCTTATACACTATTTATAAATTTTAAAAATTAACTAGCAAAAAAAATTGTAATTGAAATGACCTGTAAATCCAATAAGTCACATAATTAAGATGTTTCATTATACACTATTTATAGAGTAAACAAAAAAAAATTAACTAGCAAAAAATAAAACAAAAATATAATCAAATGTCTTGTAAAACATAAGCATTCTAATTATTAAATATTCATCGAACATACAATTTTTACAAGTTTAATGTAGTTTTAATTAAAGTATTCATATCATGGTTTTTCAATGATGTTTTGTAAAGAGGGTTCATTTGCCTATATTATAGGAGAGGGTGGTGGAGTGGAGTTCACAAACAGCACAAGTACCATTGCACATTTGTTGTTATTTAATTCAGAGAGAATCATTTAAGATGAGAAAACACTGTTCATTAAAATATAGTCCAAAGATTTGGTCATGGTTAATAATGGTTTCTAAAGTGTATATATATATATATATATATATATATATATATATATATATATATATATATATGTCTAGCATTATATCAGCTTCAGAACCTGATATACATCACAGGCATTCCAAACTTTGTTGTCGCTTGACACACAATAAGAGTGATTAATAATGTGCATGAACCAAAGCCAAAGGAGGTAAAGGAAAGTTATGTGTTGTTGCACCAATAATACAGCATGTAATCATTAGCTTTCAATGTGTATCACTCTGTCCACTTTTTTTCAACACTATGATTGTAACAGACAAGATGGGTACCCCTTCAAGCAAGCAAACTCAGTCACAATATGCTTCCAACCCTTTACAATCCCTTAAGATGTGATCATTCCTTCAACAAGTTAATGAAGCCATTTTATTTGGCCATGAATTTTGTTAGGCCAATTCCTAGGAAATCATTAGTGCATATGTAGGCATCATAGCCAAAGGGGTGCTTGGAATGTTGAGTTGCCATCAAAACAGTGTCTTCTTCATGTATATAATTATTATCATATGTTGGTTCATTCATATTAACTTGAATTATTAGTTTTGAATTCAATCTTTGTATGTAGTGCTTTTTGTTTAATCTCTTCTACTTGTCTTAATAAAAAATATTATGGTCTATGAAAAAAATGTTAACATAAGTTGGGTATGCAGTATAATTTTTTTTTTTTTTTTCAATTGTATAATTTTAATAGTAGAATTGTTCTCCCATTACCAATTGTAATGGCTACAGATGATGACATGACAATTACATTAATACATGTCACTGAGAATAAATAGGTTTGATTGTTGGTTTACAAATTGGTGAAGGTGTTAAAAAGTTAACTTTAAACCTTAAATTTTATTAAAATAAGAATTACTAAGTTATTTGATAAAAACGAATACTATCTTGTTTCATGACCAACAAAGTTGAACACATTTTTATTGGTACTAAACAAACAGCATGACTCTATATATCCTATAGTTTATGTCTTCGTATTATAATTCAATAACTTTGTGATTAAAATTATTTATTATTATTAATATATTTTTTTACTAAAAATTGTAAAATTTTACACTTTTTAATCTATTTTCAGCAATAAACCTTTTAATTTACTACCAAAGATTCTGTTAATGTTAAAACTAAATTGAAATAAGATATTACTGAAATAAAAAAAAATACTAAAAAATGTTTAATGATGGAAAATCAGTCACAAAAGTATACCTACAAATTTTGTAACGAAATTTATTTTCATCACAAAAACAGATACCACTAAATCCTTATGACCATTTCTTTCACTTTATCACTAACAGTGATAGACAAAAGACTACTATACAGTGTTATTATTTCTTCAAAAATATAATTTTGTTTATTCATTTTAATTTATTTTTTGTCACAAATTTTAAACCAATTCTTGTTACAAATTTTACAACTGTTTTTCTATGACATTTCATGGGGTTGTGACAACATGCATGTTTGTCCCAAATTATATAATTTGTTCCTCCATAATTTTTTTCACGAATTGTCACCTTTAAAGCAAATGCATAGTCACTTAGAGAGCAAGTATATATGAATAAATTTGTGATAAAATTAATTTCAGAAATAAAAAATAATTATTGTTTTTTTCAAAATATTTATATGATTAAAAGAAAATTTTCTATCGTCACGAGTAAACCTATATATACTAAGAAAATATATTATTGATTAATGGGGTTTGAAAAAGTTAGTGGCAGTTCTAAGGAAAAAAAAATGCAAATTGATACACACTCACACACGTTGTATGGATTAAAAAGTATTGTACAACTATTATGTCAATTACTATTTTAACCCATAAAATGAGTTTTCTAGGATAAAAAATATTTACACTTTCTACATAATTTGGATCTATATCAATTATAAATAAATAAAAAATAATGGTAATGAATTTATTTATTTTTTTCGCAATAATAAACATATTTTGGTTTCATATCTTACCTTTCAAACTCGCACACCATAATAATACTATTTTGGTTTCATATCTTGTCTTTGAAATTTGCGTTTTTTTTATGTAAATTATGAAAGCAATAAAGATTGGCTTTTTTCAAACGTGACTTCAGATAGATAGATATATGCACAATTCAAATTTACATCCAAACACACATAATATTTAACGAATCACATTACCAAACACACATCGTTAATGCGTATTTCACAATTTCACACTCAAGTCCTTTATGTGAGCTTCTAGAGTATTTCTTTTATTATAAACTTGTATCCATAATAGTAACCGTAAATCGTAGTTTTTTTTTTTTTTTTTTTTCAAAAGTGAATTCTAGGTTAGAATAGCTTATCATGCTATTTGTTCAAAGAGTAAAACAAAATGGTCCCATCCCAAGGACACACAGGTCGACGGTTGCGGATGAGAAGTACATGAATGTGTACCATAATCTATGTCTAGATCCTCTTATCTTTCCAGCGTGTATTTTGTAATGTGATATATTTTTATTTTATTCTTCATGTTGGGGTGTTTATAATTTTAATTATTTCTGAAACTTGTTCTTATCACCCCTTAATAATGACTTCATATATATATATATATATACATGAAGATATGTTGTGTTACGAGGATCAAAGACATGATATGACTAAACGTTTGTCATGTTATTAAGTGGTACCTGATATTATTAACAAAAAGTTATGAAGACTAAATCCAAATATAATATATGTTTTTTGAAGGATTAAGACTTAAGTATTTTTGTTTGGTTGAAACAAAATCCCTATGATGATGAAATTGAGAAAAAGAAAAAAAAAATGAAAAAGGGAGTGAGGGAGTAAATGGGTGGGCGAAACGTGGAGCTTGCATTAAAAGCAATGGATGAAGAAGATTGATTGGTAACATGTCTTGAGAGTGCAGAGAGAAAGGAAACAGTGTCGATGGGGTTTAATGAGCATATCTTGGGAAAGATTGTGCGTTGTTGTTTAGTCAATTCTGAAGGTGATGGGCAAGAGTTAGGAGGCATGGTGTTCCCCTTCCCCACTTCACTGCCTACTCTTCTTATGGCAAGAGTGTCACAACAACTCAAATCTCCTTAATTGCTTCCACCAACAAATCTCACTCTGCACATTCACCTTTCTCCCAAATCTCATGCTTCTCTTGTTCTTTTCTGGGGACCTCCTTTTCAGACTGGACCATGCACCCTTCCACAGCCACAACCAATCTTGTTTTTAAGACGAATGTTTTTTCTCCTCTTGTCTTCTTCCAATCATCATCTCCACCTATTTACTTTTTCAATGCTATCTATAAATTTCGGTTTCAGTACTGCACCTATGTCCATGCACTGCTTCTCTAGGTACAACGATTTGACATCTGTTTCAAAATTAACTCCTTTTCCTCTTCTCCTTCCACGAACATCCATAAAAACACATTTTTTTACTACCTTCATGTTCATAATTGCAATGATTAAACCTTTTTTATACAAATATGTGTGAACGAAGAATTTGTTAGAACCAACATTCTTTTATCTTTTGATGGTGGTAATTTGGCAAATAAGGGATTCATGAAAGGCAATTAAGCAACGGTTATTTGAATTACTCGTACCGACCGTACCATCTCTTCTTGTTCAGGTCTTCGTCTACTATCCGTACGCACGGTGAAGCAAAGCACGCAAAACAGGGTGGTGGCCACAACATGGAACACAACATGTGCCAACACAATGTCATACAATCTCTAACAAAACCCAGAAATCTCAACCTCCATCCCAGAATCCAAAATGCTAATGATACCTACGACAACATGGCAACGACCGTACCGTTGTCTTCCTTGCCGACGACGAGGTTCCTTTCAACTTTATCGGAAATTGTCGACCCAACACAGAACTGTTGTGCTGTCCGTATGCATCTTACTGCCACCACAACCAAGACCCATGAAGCCACGTCCACCCTAAAATCTGACTCCTAACCTCTCTTCATGAATCGCCCTGTGGCCCAGAATTTGACTCCTAACAAGTCTCCATTCCATTCTATTATCATCACCATTGTCTCTTCTTCAAATCTAAACGTGATTTAAAATATCAAATTTGTTTGAAACCAAAAACTCACACATTTAATATCTTAAAATTTTAAGTTATATCGTATTTTCGTGTACCATTGACTCTACTTCTATTATTCAATATCTCGGATTATTGTTCCCTAGCACAGTGGTAGCTGGTTAAAAACTTTTTCACTTACAATTAAAATTAAACCTACATTTTTCATTACATCGATAGTCCTCAAATTATTTAAGCATAAAAAATCTGATCAATGTACCAATCCACGATGTTATAATCTCTTTCCTTTAAGAACTATTTTTATTTACATGTAATTTATTGGAATTAAAGTTGTTTTAAAATTTATTTGAATTTGAAAACAAAATAACAAATCAAACATATTTAGCTTTCTCTTCATTATAATATAAAGAAGAAAAAGGGGGAGGGGGAATTATTCATTTTTCCTTGTGTTTAGTGAGAAAAGAAAAGAAAATATAACCGTATATGCTATATATAAGTTTATATTCTTTTATAATATGTAATGAGAATGTGAAATTCTATACATAAAATTATATAATTTTTATGGATGAGGAAGTTTAAAAACTAGTTTAAATCACGTTATCACTAAAAAACATGAAACTATTTAATGAGTGTGAAATGGAAAACAAAGTTAAGCTTAGCTATACGACAAACGGGCACTACAGCAAAACGAGATTTCAAAATGGATGACCTGTAGCGTTCTTGACTCATGTGAGAAGCAATTTTGGGGCAATATGATTAGATTTCTGTCAATTCTAATTGATTTAAGGACAACTCAAGAAATATGGTTAGATGAACCTGTTTATGATTATTGGTAATTAAATATACAAGTTTTGTGTATTGAAAATAACAAAACTTCAGATCTATAGTAAACAAATGTTACATTTGATTAGTGTGCTTTGAATGAAAATGGATCGACTTGATAATCTGTCAGGAAACAAAGATTAGAGTGCTAACAAAAAGGAAGAGTTTCAAATGGAGACTTCAAAAAAGGAAATTCTGAATCATGTGAACAATCAAATGAAGGGAAAAATGAGTCAGAAAGTATAACAATTAGGAGAACAGGAGTTAAATCAGGAAATTTGGTATGCAAATTAATTGATCTAATTTATTAATACTAAGTGTGTTGCTTATGCCTTGATTTATGATGATGAGGCAATTAAGAGGAAAAAATGATCAAAGTGATTAACATGTCATGCATGAATACATGCATTCACTTGTGAAGATATACTATCTTACTGATTATGTGAAACTGGAGGGACGCACATATGTGTTAAAAAATAACGAAGGAATTTCAAAGTTGAGTCTCTCAGAAGGTTGGATTAGTTTGAGATAGAATTTCGATGCAACTAAAAAGATTTTAGGCATGATAATTCAGATGGATATAGGAAAGAAGTCTTACTTTTATGTCTCTTAGGAAAAATACATTGGAAGTTATTGCAGTATTTTCTGATATAAGCTGGTTATTAAACATGTGGCAAGACTCGATGCTACTTATCTGGTATAGCAATGAAAAGAAGGATTACAAGGGAAGAAAGATGGTATGTGCCGTGATGTAATGCCCAGTTTAGCGTCTTCTCATGATCAGTAGGTTTATGAGTAACCATGGAAAGACTTGTAGTTAGTAATTATGATACTTGAGAGACACAAGCAAAATTTTGACTCAAGATTTTGCACAATAGAAGGGGAGACCTCAAGGTTTTTATTCCAATGTATAATATCGAGGTGAAAGACTTCATAAACCAACTTCTGGATTGTTTAAAATTTCATATCAAAAGTAAAGTGGTGTGATGTATATTTTAATGATAGAACGTGGATATTAAAATGTATTGGTTGATATCAATATAGGACTCTAGAAGAGTATTAGGTAATCCTTGAGATCTTGACATGACTAATTTTAATTTTTAGCTTAGTTCATTACTAAAACTTAATATTCAATAATAATAAAAGTACTTTCTGAAAACCATCTAACAGTGTTGCTAAGAAATTTATAAGATAACCAAAAAGTTATAAATTTCTGATAACCACCAAGTTATAAACTTCTGATAACCATAGTTAACAACTTAAAGCATTAGCCAGAAAATGGCTTTCACGATCAATCGCTTTCCCTTGTAGATCTAAATCTACTTGTAAGTCAAATAAAAATGAGAATGCTCATAAACTTTTACATTACAGGCACATGCATATACTCATATATAAAGATGGTATAATAACACCAAATGTCAAAGAAAATTCTGAAAGAAAAATGGCGAGTCTATTATAGCTTTTTTGGGTCCTGGACCATGCTAAAAAAGTGTTATTTGCTTTTGTTATATGTGGATGACGGTAACATCAGTTCCAAACAAACCGGTTCTTGAAGAATATGATCTATTTTCTTCAAACAATTTGGCTTCATATATGTCATTCTGATCCATTTTTTTCACGTGATGATATATGCGTGTAAGTAAGCCATTAGAACACAGGGCAAAGCAAGAAGATTTAGGTAAAAATTAAAAAAAGTTACGTAGGTTTAGTGCTTGATGCTTACCTAACCATTTATCCTCTTTTTAGGTTACATCTTTGTTCTTTTTTATATTAAATTAATATGAAATAATATATTTTGTGCATTTTTAAAGGAAAATAGAATCAACTTCTTTGATTTGATTTATATCATCCATATTAATATATATAAATACTAATTTTACAGCTGTTTTGGTATATAAATTTTTATTATAAAATTTATCCTTATTATTATAATAATGGTTTTTTATTATGATAATTATTTCTATTTTATTATGATAATTATTTCTATTTTATTATAAATAAATAAGATATTACATATTATTATTTGAGTTTAAATGTCAGTTGGAGTTTTGCTTTATATAAAACTAGAAAAGTTAAAAAAAAAAAAAGAATAATATATAGAAAAGAAAGATCATAAATTTCTTGTTTAAGGATTTGAATTTAAAGTTATGTCTTATTTTTTTATATAATTTATTCGTTCTATTAATAAATATTTCTTCATGTTTCTTCTGACAAGTGGTATATATCTCTCTAAACCCTAAACCATTACAATTAAATAATAATAATAATAAAAACATACAATAATATGTAAGTATGTGTAATATTCAAGTTGAAAGCTGACAATTTACATGTGAAATTATAAGCAACATGCATGATGCTAAAAAATAATTATATTTTCTTTCTATAATTTTATTTTATTTTATCACAGAATGAATCACTTTTTAAATCAAATAATTTGATCCTCTCGCATTTTATTTTATTTTATTTTGACTGTAATGAAGAAGGATAGGTAGGGTGGCTATATTATAGTCCAATTATGTACATACCAAACTATGATGGCTTTGGCATGTGCAATAATTCAGCACCCAAATTCACTTTAGTTTGGCAATATATATCAAAGGTAAAACATGTTCAACTACATAAAAAAAAATAAAATTAAAATACTTTAGAATCTTTTAGGAATTAGATGAAGGATTCTGTTAAACAAAGTTATAGGAAAATTTGGCATTTAATTACGTTTAATGTAGTGTACATATAAAATTAGAATTGGGGAAGTTGAAAGCCGAGGGAACCATAACCTTGACCTTCATGCCTAAGAACAATTGTGTCAATTTCTTACGAACTTATTGTGCCATTGATGATTTGATTTGCAAATTTAAATATGAGATGAACTTTCATAAATTGACACCATTTATTAGACTTTATAAAGACATAAAGAAAAACATTAAATATACTAAAAAAAGTTTGATAATAAAATAAAAACAAGACATTAAATATGACGAGCATGGCTAAAAGGTTATAGAATGAAATTGGAAAGCATCAAATAGAATATTCAATTTTTTTTTCTAAAAATAAAAGTCTTTTTTGTTTCAAATATGTTGAAATTAGATTTTTCTTAAAAGATTTTTCTGGAATATTTCAAAAGAATATTCCTTGAATATTATAAATAAAATTTTCTTAAAGACATATTCTTTCTAAATTAATAATTTTAGAAGATTCTACCGTGTTTTAAATAAAGTGATTAAGTATCGTACATTAACTTTAATTAATTGGTAGTTAGAGCAATTTAATATACCATAACTACTTTGTGATAACCTTTGACCAGTAAGCTTTGTAATTAATTAAGAATGTGAAAATGAGTTAACCGACTAAATTTGGTATAATAATAAATTTAAAAAAATTATTAATCTGTATAAAATAATTAATTATAAAATATTTAAATAAAAATTAAAAATATTTTAAAAATTTAAATTATATTCATGAAATTAATTTTTATTTTAAATATAATAATTTAATATATAAATTATAAGAGAAAAGATTCATTTAATTTAAAAATAAAAGTTAAAAAATTAATCTTAATTGATCAGTGAAGGCAAAAGATTTCTTCTTTTATTTACTTTTACAACAAGTGAATATTTTATTAAATTAATTTATAATAAATTTATATTTTTAATAAAATAATAATATTATTATTATTTTAAAATTTATGATTATTTTAAAAAAGTTGATCAATTTAAAAATTTATGAGATAATCTAACATAAGCTCAAATAAGTCATACTCTAAACGAATTAGACAAAATTAGATTTGATTTAATTTAAAATAAATTTTTTAACTTGATTTAACATTTTTCTCAACTTATTATATTAAATCTATTTTGATATCTCTATTTGTATTTTTATGTTTATTTGGATCATGGACGTTGTAGCTCTTTATCTTTAACATTTATTACTAAGAGTATATTTAATCATGTAATTGGTTGTTTAACTTGCACACAGTTTATTACCCGAACCTACTTCTATTTTAATAATAGAAGACTTTTTTTTTCTTTTACACTTGAGATATATGAAATTAATTGATTTTATGAGATATAAGTTTCTTAAGAATTTGATA